AAGGTGTCTAAAGGTCACACTAGATAGTCTGATAAAAATTCTGAAGTGTCAGGTTGAGACCAAACAGCAGAGCCTGAAAGGGGTACAAAGGACACTCTACTCTGAACCATAGTCAATCCCTGAATTCCAGGTGCATGGAGGGAGGGGAGGGAACTATCAGGAGAAGCGTCAAGCCATTACGACTATATAGCACTGGGAAATGGTAAGGATAAAGATTTGGGATGGGACGGGGGAAAGGAACGGTGCCCAACAACTTGGACGGTCGGTGATTGAACACCAACCTGCATGAAGCGAGACCGTCGATCTAATGTCTAGCCTAAGTTGTTGAGCTCTAGGTGTATGGAATTGTGCTAATAGGCTTCTCAAAGATCCAAGTTAAAGAAAAACTCCATTGAGTTCTGATAAATCCAGGGTATGAAGTAGAACTGGGACACCCTCTACAAGGATGGAGTTTCCATGAGCACACCCTTGTTCAATAAATCAGAAATGATGGTGTGGAGTAATAAGAACACAGATGAGCAGGCCCTGAGACACTGGACTGAACACAAACAGATACACCGAGCTTGAGATTGCACAATATACTCAGGAATCTTGAGAGCAAGTACTTATGAAGATGCTGTAATGCTCACCCATTATACAGTTGGGAGGTTCCATGCCTCTCCCGAGGCTGAGTCTCGGGCTGAGACCAGGTGAGAAAGTGAGTTTTTGGATGCCCTGGATGTGGCAATGATCTTCTGCCATGTTACTTTTGGCTACATAAATTTCTTCAAGCAGGTAATTTTTTTTTTTCTTTGCACCTGGGCCTTCTTGTGGATTTATAAATTTTGGGTTGATCCTTGATCCCCAAACTCTAGTCACCTTGTAGTGTGCGCTAAAATCTGGTCCTGATTCCCAGTAGGTAAGGGTGGGGAGCTGCCAAGAAGGTCCCTCCAAGAAATTACTTTTTTTTAAATATAGTGTAGTACAATAATATAAAACAATACTGTATTAAAAGTAGGCTTATATTTACTGCAGGCTTATCACTAAATGTGTTCAACAGAAATGACCTGGTCATCACTGAAGAAAATCTGCATTAAACCAATTGCTAAGTCTAGGAATAATTGACAAATTATTTATTTTAACTTAATTGTATGATTTAATAAGGGTTTTTATAATACAATTATGTATGTAAAATAATCCTATTATTTGATGTAATGTAGTATTATTATAAATACAGTACAAATTATATTTAGAGTAATATATTATTAACCTTTTCATGTTGAGGCCAATTTTATAGCTTGTTTCTTGAATGCTTTGTTTTGACACCACCTCAGGTGTGCAAAACACTCTTGCTTTTCATACCAACATTCTTATAATATTTATAGTGTTGCCTTGGAGCCAAGGTGCTGTAAACAATAACATGCGTGATAAAATAGAAAGCTACCGTAAGATGTAAACATTAAGTATAAATGCAGACCATTTGTTCTTGGGAATTTACCATCATATACATGCAGACACAACATAATTGTTTTCCTTACATTAAGAGACAGATAAAACATTACAGTATGTTAATCTAAACACCAACCATCATCTTTTTATTCTACTGTATGTCTTATTCCTTTGACAGTTGAGATGCTAGTATGGCAAGTGAATGAAAACCCAGGAGTTAGAGAGGTAGAAATGGACAACCTGAGATGTATTTAGTTGTTTGGAAGGCAGATGGAGCAAGGAATAAAAATGAGGTGGAAAGATGTGTAGTGCAAAAGCTGGTTAGTAATGAGATTGAGGAAATTGTACAATAATGGTTTGGAAAATTTAATAAATGTATGATAGTGGAAAAACAATGCAGTGAAATTAATTTGCTAGTAGTAAGAGGAAGGGAATGTCAAGATGGGTACTCAGGGTGACTGACTGACTGACTGTGAGGAAGCAAGGATTGTGCGAGAGCAGCAGACAAGAATGTGAGGCACGAGGTTAGACGGAATCAGCAAGGGAGTGACATACTGCTTTTTAAATGACGGTACAGAAAGAACTTTATACCCAGTTATATGAACTGGTGGGACACTGCTTTGTGTAACAGTACAGAGGCCATGTCATGCTATGTAGTATGGAATAGGTGGGTTGTCTTTTTGAGCATCTTTTAAACAAAAAAAATCTCTGACTACTTCTTCCAGTTGTATGCCTCTTCACCCCAAAAATCTAGAGATGGGGCAATAATGATAATGATACTGTACTTGTTTTACCTCATGCAGTCTAATTCGTGGTGTTAATCTAAAGAGACGTTAACACTGTTCATGGGTGAGAAAGTGGTTACAAGAAAGTGTGGCATGTGGATGGTCGAGTGAGAAGGCTCCTCCTATATTCATGTGCATTACTTTATATAAATTAGTTCTGTAATTTATCTCTCTTGAGAAACAATACAGTGTTCCTCATATAATCTGGTGATATAGATTAAGGAGAGTTGTACTTCTTAAATAAAAACATAAGGGTTAAGAAAAAGAAAAATACAGAAAGTTTAAGACGATATACGCATCCATTGGAGATGGTGCCCCTACACAGAATGCTTTAGGAAGGATGCCCATGCTTGAAAATTGCAACTTCCCACCTTCAGAATGAGGCTTAAAAACTGATAATTAGCAACTCAGTTTTTGTTTATCTCAAGTGCTACTTCAAAAGTTGTCTGGTATGATACTGCCAACTTCTCAGAATCTTAGCTTTGTGTTCACAAAGTAAACTGATTAATACTCAAAACATTTCTCAAGATAATCAAGAGGTCCAAATTTGATGAATTTTGGCAATTATCTGCAAGATAACATAGTCATGTGAACACTTGGATAATGAGTTGAGCAAAGTGCTGTCTTGAGGTTACCAAAGTCCAATCCACGAGACACAGAACACAACACAGGCCGTCATACAGTGGGACTAGGTGCTTCTACAATTGCACACAAACAGCTTCATTTACTCTATTATGACACCGATTCATTCACTGCACAAACACTGGGGGAATTGTTGAACAGTAGGACACGTTTTTCCCTTACACCTCTGAACATGCTGACATGTCATCTCCAGCCTCCTGACCTGCTTCAACATCTGTTAAAAATCTGGCTTCAATTATCCTCTTTGCCAACTCTTAACTCATTTCAATTATATTTACACTAGGCATATGCTGTATCATGACCCCTAAACCTTTCATTACTTGAATGTACTTGAAATGCCTTAACAGGTGATGCATTAGGTCACCACATTAAGGAAAGCTTCCAGAGATGATGGTGTGTCCAAAATATAAAGTGATCAACATGTGACGAAAGCTTATGTGATAAAGAGTTCCAGAGAAAAATGGCACATATATACTGAAATAAAAGGAAGCACAGGTACAGTACATGATTAAGAAAGTAATAGCTAATGTCTGGGAAGACTAGATATATAGTACCAAAGACTTCAATATAGCACAAATGTAGGATAATTAAGCAAAGACTAATAAATGTTTCATGACTTAAGAATGGCAGGCATTCTCATACTGCATAACATAAATGAACTTAATCCTCTTTAATCTCAGATGAGAAACACATTTCCCTGAAAAAACTGAAGACCAAAAATTAAGAGGGAAAAGCTACTGTATGGAAAATAAAATAAATAACATGAAAATATGAACATATTTGATTTATTCAACAAGTTTCATTTCTAACATGGACGAGAATCTCTCTCTCTCTTGGTACTCAAGTAGATTGCTAAAATGCCTCGACACTAATAATTCAGTAAATAATGTACATGTGTCAAACGTTTTAATGGCTGATCAGCAGAGTATGTAGGTGCTTGTAAAATTGGCACAAAATATTTTATAAAAGATCAGTGCAGAGTTAAATCTGAAAATTATCAGTAATGTATTTGTGTCTGAAAAAGCTTGGTTGTTAATTTACATGTTAGGCAGTTCATATTCATCAAGTAGTAATTACTGTGATGATCAATATATCAATGATAATGATCAATGTAAAAATGATACAGAAGTCTATGGATAATGTTCATTAATTCAAGAAGTCTTTACTCTTTACACTAGTCAGTGTTGCCTATTTTCTAGAGAGTACCAAAAAAAGTAACAGCTAAAATACCCAGGTAATGTTTACATGCTAGTTCAGTGGCTATCTAATCCTCCTTAAACAAGTCTCTGCTTTCATAAGTTGACATTACCTCTCAAAAATGTTACCTTTAAAGTGTGTTAGATAGAGGCTAAATACAGTTGAAGTTTAGTTAGTATACTGTACAATTCACATCAAAGACTGAAACAAATCAGTTATCCTTTTTAATGTTCTTTAACTGAGACATTTTAATATTGTATTCTTAAACTTAAAGTTTTAAAGAAGGCCAATTTGTAAAAGTAATTTTACAAATGCATATTCCAACCAAATATGACAGAATTCTAGTCAGAGTGACCATTAGAGCATTTACAATATACAAGAGAGTTTTTAAAGGACAGGATATTTTGAAAAGTAAACACCAGGATGCCATAAAATAACTTATACTCCACAGATGCTTAATTTGTGTTAGTGTTTCTTTGTGTATGAATGTACTGTAGTTGATGTGAATGTAGTAAAATTATCAAAAGGAGGAGTCAAAAATGTAGTGAAAATGGGACCAGATTCCCGAAGCAGTTACGCAAGTATTTACGAACCTGTACATCTTTCCTCAATCTTTGACGGCTTTGGTTACGTTTATTAAACAGTTTACAAGCATGAAAACGTCTCAATCAACTGTTGTTATTGTTATAAACAGCCATCTGGTGCTTCAGAGCTCATTAACTGTTTTATAATTGCAAACAAAGCCGTCAAAGATCGAGAAAAAAGATGTACAGGTCCGTAAGTGCTTGCATAACTGCTTCGTGAATCAGGCCCTCTGACTTGTCTATCAGAAATATGGTTAAGACAATGAGGAAAGATGAGGTTTTCAATCATGGTGTTTATTGTATGCCTTGCAGTGGATGTAATAACTTTTTTAAAGGTTTGGAAATAAAATAAAGTGATCACAAATATAACTAGAACATTTTTGTATTCAAAGATATTAGTTGATCATAAAAGTTATTCCAGGCATTATATTCAGTATGGAGAAGCTAAATTGCTTATACATTAACAGAGCTAAATGAAGGACAGATGTTGGAAGCCAATTTGTATATTAATCAGCAACAGCACTGATCAAACTTTAAAATTACAGACCTTCTTGCATTGTTGTTGAAGAATTGGCACAAAATTTGACATTTAGGGGGTGATTAGTAGCCACTGAACTATTGTGTAAACACAGTACTTGACCTTTTGGATTGTTGGTATTGTTTATTTTTTGTTTGTGTTACTTTTGAAAAGCCATTGTCTTAGACAAAATCTTTGTAAGTGGCTCCCCAGCTATGCAAGGCATTTTTATTCCATCTAACATCAATATTTTAGATACCCAAGAGACACTATGAAAATTTGCCCTGCTTAATTTAATTAATTTAAAAACTTGGAATCACAGAGGAAGCTCCCAAATATTGGCATCATCTTTTCACTGAACTTATACAATAGTAAAGTAGATTTTCACTAGCATTATTAATTACAAATTCTGATTAATATATTGTACAAGATCAGGTCCTAATTAAGATGCAAAGTTTTCAGTATTTTGAAGTTGTAATAAAATATTTAAAATTGTACTGTACTGGTAAAGCTAATGGAAAAAAAACTGCTGTATGCGCTATTAAAAACATACCTTGAACATACCAGGGCATTAGATTTTACCCGATGATCACAAGCAGATGGCACATTCAATTGCACAATCACACTGCAGTGACAGATTTGATTTCAGCGACATTTCCAAGGCAGATTTAAAGAAGAAAATTAAATATTATATTCACTCTTGGGAAGCAAGTGTAACTTTATTCCCATACTGGAATAGCACTGCATTATCACCATGGTATTCATAGACCACAGTGCCCTTTTGTAATTTTGACATTTAAAATTGAACTGACACTGTATAGGAGAGAGTAAGATTATACAGCTTACAAAACACACTGTATAGGAGAAAGTAAGATTATACAGCTTACAAAACACACTGTATAGGAGAGAGTAAGATTATACAGCTTACAAAACACACTGTATAGGAGAGAGTAAGATTATACAGCTTACAAAGCACACTGTATAGGAGAGAGTAAGATTATACAGCTTATAAAACACACTGTATAGGAGAGAGTAAGATTATACAGTTTACAAAACACACCGCTTACCATTCATACCCCTGTAACCTTCAAGTGCCATGACAGGAGAAGGGCAGCAAAATTCAGGATATTTAACTGACTATATGATCCTAGCGCTGTGCTTCATTACTGGCACCCACAAAATCTTTAATATAATGAACAGTAATGACACCATGTATTAAATACAATGAATGTAACCCAGATCTTATTTCTCACAGGTACAACAGGAATTCAATATTAAATTAGTGTACAGTAATGATGCACTGTACTGTACTTAAACAGCAACTGACGTACAGTATAGTAACCTACAGCACGGCATGTATTTGTTTTCAATACCTCTTTAGCATAATATGGGCTATCTTCACAAAGAATTTTTGTATGAAAATAAAAATGAACAAAATATTAAGACAACTAACACAAGGATCCAAAATATGAAAAAAATATTAATAAGAGAGCTAGTTCTTCAGTTGGGCTACAACCTACTGAACCCTATAAAGAAAGAATGCATCCAGAAACAGAAAGATTTAAAACTTTTAGAAAGTTGTTTAACATCTTGATGACTGTGTACCTCTATTTTTCCTCTTCTTCATGTTTGTTTGCAGACTGCATCACACACACCCAGCTGCAACTTATTTTTTAAGGCATTGGTTTAGAACATCTTCTTCTTAACTGCTGTGTATCTCTCCATATACTGAAATGACCAAAGAATGAGTTATGCACTTAATTTAATATGTATTGTACATAAGGGAAAGCTGTACAAATGTATCAAGTTATTAAGTTATACCCCCCATCCCCAAGGAGATCTGAGACTATTCATGATATACAAGGAGTGACTACACAGTTGACAGACTGTTTTTTAATTCATAAAAGTGATTTTGTGATTACAGTGGCACTTTAAAAAATCCAAATCATATCGTTCCAGATCCAATCCAGGTTACGTGACAAACCAGATTTCTGAAACATTGCCATGTTTTGGTTATCACTAAATTTTCTGAATTTTTCTTACAACAAATAATATAGTATTGCTTGCCTATGTGTGCTCGTGCATATTTAGACATTCTACTTATATATAAATAATGATTTTTTGTGCATAAATAATTATGCAAAATCTGGATTTTTTATAAATATGAATTTTGGAGGGAAAATCTGGTGGTGAATATTGTTTACTGCACTTTTAATTTTATTTTACCGATTCTATAAGAAAATCTATTAGAGCAATGCAGGGGGATTCAAACCCTCAAGTTGTGTATTCCCAAGCTGCACACCTTTCCTTTGGACCACGACATGGTATAAATTATACAAATACAGTATGCATAAAACCTGGACTGGCTTTAGTAAGGGGCCTCCAGATGTCCTGTGGATTCGGTGAAATCCTAGGTTGTATAACAAAGCCCATGTTGTGGGCCAGAGGTAAGGTGAGCAGTTTGTCAAGGGTTCAAATCTCCCGCACTGCTCAAATTGATTCTCATTGATACAGGGTATTGTGTTTTTAATGGATTCTTAACACTGCATATATTTTGTTATGATTTAAATTCATTACTTCTTCCTGCTCTATATTTTAAAATTTAAATGAAATTGGAGGCATCACATAGAAAATGAAGTATATTAAGACACTACTGGACCAATACTGTGTTATACAATATGCAGGTTATTCTAGTTTACTTTCAGACTGCAGGAGCCACTTTGAACCTCCCTGGCTGTCAAACACAACATTTTCATCCTCAAGGATCAAACTCATCAATCATAGTGTATCATGATGATTTTTTTATGCAAAAATGGAAATTAAAATAATACAGTATTGCTACAGTACAGTATTTTGTATTTTTTACTTGCATATACAGTACATATGCAGTATGCTTTAAACTAAACATACTGCATGTGCCATATTCTCTATTATTTTGAATGTTTAATTAAAATTTGTATTAACTTTTTTTTTTTATGGGGTGGGTGGGGGAGGACCTATATGCCTGTAGCTTCTTTACCAATCGTAATGCAGTAAAAGTTGAATGACTGAGATTTTAGTTTGCATTTTCTGTATTTCACACACTCTCCTCCTCGTGCAACTACTTATAAGCTACCTGTTCATTTGAAAAATCTCAATTAAAATACATGGTAAACTATGCAAGATCCCTAAGTGATAGACTCTGAATTCCAATTATCATTAATATTCATTACTTTTTCAGTAAAAAGATACTGTACCTTGGCATATCCTTCCACTTCTTCAAATTCTTTCATTTTGAACAAATTGCCATCCACACAGAGGAGTGATACTTGAGAGTCAACCAGGAGCTCTACAGGTAAACTGGTTAGTGTTAAGCAATTCTCCTCCAAGCGTAGAGTCTTCAAGCGGGGACATACGGCCACAGACGGAGATATTGTAGATATCTGTTGAAGTTTATGATTACTGTAACTATATATGGTACTATACACCAACAAATTAATAACAGGGATTACAGTTACTTTATTCAGTAATTCAAACCTAAGTGATAGATAGCTAAGGAAGAAAACTGTATGTGGAAATCACAGAATTTCATCAATATATGTATAAACAATTACCTACCTGATTCATATTTAGATTTAGTTCCACTGTCTGCAGTTCATCTATGCCATCAGGAATAACTGTGATATGATTGCCACTCAGATCTACAACATCTAGCTGGGGCAGCCCACACAGTGCCAATGGGAACTCTGTAATCTTGTTATCGCTTCAAGCAAAAGAAGTACTAAATTACGTGCTGCAAATCTCCATTATGTTTGCAAATGAAATAAGGAAATGTCTCTAATTGAGTCATCTTATTCTTCAATATTTAAACAAATCTTGATTGGAAATAATTTGTTTCCTTATACAAATATTACTACTAGAGTGTATTATTAGATAAAAAACAAACTTTGTATGAATAAAGAGAATATATAACATATACTACCTGAGTATGACAGATTTAAGATGCTTGAGATCAGACATTGATGCTGGCAGGGAAACAATGAGGTTTGACATCAAAGACAATGATTCCAGTTTTGTCAGGCTTCCTGTTTCTTCTGGCAGATTACCTGAGACATACAGAAAAAGAAAGTACTGTACAGTACTATATCATACAGTACATTATACAGTATAGATTTTACTTACAATACTTTCTTCTATTAAACTTGAAGTCTTCCTTTTGTAATTTTGGATGAATGTAAATTATACAAATCTCTTCAGTGTCTCATGATCAACTAAATAATTTCATTTAGGTTTCCCTAAAATTACAGCAATCATTAAAAAACCGGCGGTGAATGTAATGAAACGCCATTTTCTGGGTGAGGACCCGGAGGCTCCCCGGAGCTAACCGGCCTGATATGATTACATTCAATGCTGGTTTTCTGGGGGAAGCCCTTTTGGCTCCCCCAGAGTTACTTACCCAAAGACAAAACATGAGGGGGACTTACCCGGGAGGCAGTCAACCCCTGCTCCTCAACGTGAAGTTGAGACAACTGGCTGCAACCGCCGACCCAATGCCACACAGGCCCGACTAGACCCAGGAACATTAACAAGGTAGCGAGCAGCCAGGACCCTGTTCGACCTCCAAAAACCTCGTGCCCGAATGTCAGCTCAAGACATATTACCGAAGACGGCAGCCAACGCAACAAACTTTGAAATGCGTTGTGGGCACAAGGATAGATTACAGGCTGGCTGGACCGAATAACCCTGCGAACGACCTGGGAGACCTGACCCCTGGAACAGGGAAAAAGAAAAACCGGGTCAGCCAAACGCGTGTCCCTGTCCACTGAGGCAGTGGCGCGCAGGTAAAGGCAGAGAGCCACAACCGGACACAACACATGATGCACTCCCGGCATAACTAACCAAGCATCCACAATCCGAGGACCCCCTCCGGAAAGTAGCAGGCTCATTCTTCGCCAGAAAAGGCGAAGGGGCTATCAAGGGGCTGCAAACGAACAAACCTACCACCAGGAGAAAAAGAGCAGAAATCCCTATGCCGAAGGAGAGCATGAAGCTCCCTGACCTGACCCCCAGAGGCCAATGCCTACAGGAAAGAGACTTGGAAAAACAATCCTAAACCAAAGGGGCCACCACAAACCGAGGAGAAGATAGAAAAGTGAGCACCCAGTCCAACGACCAGGACAGCTCACGCATGAGCAGGCCGGTGGTGAAACAAAGCACGAGACAGCTTGTGGAATGGTGCAGAAGTAACATCAATGCCAAACGCAAGCTGCAGCAGCTCTGCCAGCACCGCATGATACGAGGCAACAGTATTCGGCGTAAAATAACGGTCCTGGAACAACCATGAAAGGAAAACAACTTTTTTAGAGACATAAGTAAACCTACAAAGGGATAAGAAATAACAGAAGGACCACCAGGAAACTTCATACTACCACCTAGACGAAGCATGCAGGTAGGACACCATCAACAAAGCCACCTGCTCACCATACAAGTGGTGATAGGCTCGAGTCAGAAAGACCAGACGCGAAGATTCGAGAAGATCGAACCAGCCATGTAACCAACCGGACCAATCTGCTGAAAGAGGCAGAGCCACGGGAAGACCTTCAGGTTCAGACACCGAGCAAGCAGTGCCTGAAACCAAGGCTGGACCGGCCATCAAGGGGCCAGAAGAACAACTCTCCCATGGTAAGTCTCCAAGCGAGTTAGGACTTGGAGCAATAGTGTAACCGGGGAATAGAGGTACAGGTAACCCCACCTCAACCAGTCCTGCTTGAAGGCATCGACCCTGACGGCCTTGCGGTCAGGAAAGGGCGCCACACATACACTGGGAGACGCCGCGATGACACCGACGCGAAGAGATCCATCTCCAGAGGCCCGAACATCCGGCAGAGCCAACTGAATGACTCGGTGTCGACCATCCATTCCGTGGGCAGGGGAATGAACCAAGACAGGCCGTCCGCCAGGACGTTGGACCCCCCCCCCCCCCCCCGAACGTAAACGGCCAGGAGAGCCAAATCCTGAGAACTCAGCAGACGAGTCACCTGAAGCGACCAGTCCCAAAGAGCCAAGGACCGCATCGAACTCCCATGGTTCAGGCAATGAACCACCTGGGAGCAGTCCGACCGGAGTCTGATCGTCGATCTGCAAGCGACCCGAACCTTTCAAAGTGACATCCACACAGCTGCAAACTCCTGCACCGACCTGTGGGCCTGATGGAAGGACGGACCCCACCACCCCTGGCCAGCCAGGTGAGCACTGGTCACAAAGCTCCAGTCAAGAGACAATGCGTCCGTGAACATCAAGGCACTGAACCCCAAAAAACCAGAAGAGGAAGTCGGAGCCGCAGCAATTGTCGCAAGGCCCTCGGAGGCTGAATCCAGCAATCGCGAGAGAGAGGCAGAAGGGATATCCCCAAAGGAACCAGAACAGCCAATGAGGCCAAACCCGACCTGGCGGGTAGACCATCATGGGAAAGTTCAGGCTCCCACCTGAACAACCTCCCCCCCTCCTGGGGATGGAGGAGGTTGTGTAGACAGTGGTGCGGTGACATCATGCTCGTTTGCTCGTTTTCATTTGGGGGAGTTCTGCCCACTAGTTCGGCTTTCAATAGCAATATTTTAACCAGAATAGGGGTTTGTTTTAGGGCGCTTACCTTTCTGGTTGCCTGACCCGGTTGATGGCAGACATAGAATGCTTCCAACCACCCAGGGGTTTCTATAGGCCACTGCTCCTTGTGCCTCTCTGAGGGGGGCCAGGTTCTGGCCCGTGGTCCTCAGTAGACCTAGAACTCCATGTGCATTGACTGATGTCAGGGTCTAATACATTCATATCAACCCGGTTAGCTCCAGGAAGCTAAAGGGGCTACCCCCAGAAATATGGCTTTGAGTAAACATGATAAGTTCCTTTATGAGCATAAATCATTCAGTAACCCAACTGAATGCCATTCCCCCTATGTTTGCTCATGCATATTTAGACATTTTAGACAAGGATTATAAAGTCTCTGGTGACATTTTTGGCATCAGCTCTACAGGAAAGCTTTCAAACAGTTCCTGCAGGGTTATAAAATAGGCTCGGGGACCACTGACGATAAGCTCAATCCAGCCTGGAATGACTAACAGAATGTATATTCACTGATGCTGCTCACCACGTCAGGGATAGGTAAGACAACTGTTGGTCAATGGTTTTAATGTTGGTCTAAGAGGTTTTAACAGATGTGTAGTGATTCATGATGCACAGCTTGTATGGATGTACAGTGGAATTTATGAGCGAGTGTGTGTGTGTGTGCGTGAATCCAATAATGCTATCCACAATGAGCATTCATAAAAATGATTAGTAATTTGTGATCAGTTATCACGATTAGTGATTTTTATAATACTGCACATTCTCATCCAGTTTTACTCATTTAGGCAAGTTGTGGATGTATAGTCTTTAAAAGCATTTTATACTTTTGTAATAGTAAGTCAAAATTTGTGCTAGGTTAAAAAGTTGCAAACCTATACCAGAGCTGTAATTTCTTATGGGCAATTTACATGTTTTTTCCACTCATTCTACTTTATAATACTTTGAGTTCAGCATAATTTTACAGTGAACTGTAATGTAACACCAAATGAACTACAGTGACCTGTAATATAACACCAAATTTTACAGTGAACTCCAATATAAAACCAAATTTTATAGTGAACTGCAATATAAAACCAAATTGTACAGTGAGCTGCAATATAAAACCCATTTTGTTGAATTTAATATCTTCCTACTAAAAAGATCTCAAGAAAAACTGCAGTAAAGAATCCTGTTAAACTTTTCTTGGGCCTAGTGCATGATTCATTACTGATACTGTGAATGGCATGTCGAGTACCTGTACTTAGAAACAGCACTAAGGTCCTCACAAATTTAATTATGTTATAACAACTTGCATTTAAAATATTAGCAAGGTTTTTGGATTGGATTTGGATTAACAGCACTGTTGGACCTGATAACTAGTAAATTCCAAGGTGGCCATTATTAATGATTTTTTACTGTGCATTTGAAACAGAAGTAAAAGTACATGCAGAAATCACAAGATCGTGATATATCAAATGAACAAATTCACAAGTGGCACAGTTGAATAAGGCACAGCTGGGAACATCCCGTGTGTAGGTTCAAACCCTCATCACGGCCCTTGTGCATTCGTTCAGAAGTAAAAGTACATAACTTACTAATTTTGTTTGAATTTAAATTCAAGTGCTTGAGATTGGAGAGGTCACATACAGTTGGTGGCAATACATTTAACTTGTTCTGAGAAAGGTCCAGAGTCCTGACGACCTTGCTTATGCTTGATAAGTCAGGTAACTGCAAAAGTTAAAAATTAGTCAGTTTTTCAGTGTCTGCAGCATTCATAATTACTAAGTTCCAACAGCTTATAATTGTTAGGTGTGGAAACATTCAAACAGAAGTACAATCAGCAGTTGTATTTAACAGAGACAATAGTCATACAGTATTTTAGACTGGAGGCGGCCTCTTATTCCCCTTGAGCGAAATGTCAGGACCTAGAAAGGTACCTTTATATTCCTATTTTGCAAAATTATGTATACTGTATATGATGAAAGGAAGCACTTGAGAAATGATACAAAAACAAAAATTATAAAACACCCCTGGGCCAAACTCACAACCGTTGGGGAAAATATGGAAAACTACCCCGGGGCCAAATCGCAGCTGCTGGAGAAAATATGGAGAACCTCCGGGGACAAATCACAGCCGCTGGGAAATTATGGAAAAACCCAGAGGCCAAATCGCAGCCACTGGGAAAAGCAAAACGTCTGCAATTTGGCCCAGTTTCTACTACTCAGCTGCGTAACAAAATTTATTTTGATTACAATCGAAGAACAGCTTGGAGAGATGAGGAATGGCAAGAGCAGTTGATTTACTGTGATATTTCTGAATATCATAATTAATATTATACAGTAGTATTATGTTCTTGTTTGTAAGCTTTATTATTATGATAACTGTAATTCCCTGAAAACATTGATTGATTCATATACTGTAGTTTTAGAAGTGAAAGCACAAGAAAAATAAATGTGACTGTTTATCCATTAGTTAAGGAGATCTGAGGCATAAAGTCATTAAGTATTAGCTCTTGTGGGGTTTTTCTAATGTAGTTTTGAAGCTCAGTGGCCAAACTTATCCATCTACCAGCCTTGGGATATTAAAAGACCTGACTTATGACTTACTTTTTGGCCCAAAAGTTTCAGAAAAAGACAAATCTGACATTCAAGTATGGCAGGGACAAACCAAAGCTTACAACTGCTAGTACCAATTCAGTCTGGTCACCCTTAGAAGCTTTGATAGATGAGCCATCACTTTTTCGAAACCTGCATCCATTTTCCAAACCCATTGCAACAAAGGAAAAATAGAATGGTTAGAAAGGTGGGGTCCAAGAGCTAATAGCTTGATTCTGCAGGTACAAATAGTAAATACAAGTTACAGCATTTCAATAAGGATGACCTCTTATTTACTAAGCATCCAATGTCTTTTTAATGTCTGAAGGGATAAATGAAGCAAGCTCATATCCATAGCTCTTAACCCTTAGACCATGCAATACATGTACAGATGATTGGAGTAACTTTACCGAAACCACGCAATACACATATAGACGATTAGGGCTCTAGCGCACGATTTTAAATGCCCCACGAGGGATAGGGGCAGCTATAGTCCAGCCATGACCGATAGTTAACAGACGCCACCTAGAAAAAAAATCGTGGGTGTGAGAGCCTCAGTACTGAGTGAGCCACCAAGGCTGGCGCACGCAGCATGAGCTCACAGCACCGCTGTTCAGCTTGTGACCACAGCATCGCCTAAAAATGTCAAAATATATATGTACATGCTATTATTTAGCGATGATAGTATTACAGAAAATCCCTGTGATATAAAATGACCAAGATTCTGATAATAGCAGGATTGTGGTGATAATTAGCGCTGCAGTGGGAGGAGTAATCTTGGTGGGGAGGGAGGTAGCATTGTCTGCTGACTCTGTGTGACCACCTTTTACTGTCTGGATTCACTATACCAGCTTAGTGGTGTTCGCTATGTTGAACACAAATGTGGATACTTATATATAACCTGTGTATATAGTGTAATAACAGCAAAAGGAGTATGTTGGGAGCAGCCATTTTGGTGAGGAAGGTGGCATTGTCTGCATGACATGTCATGTTGTGTACTGGTGGCCACTATGGTCTTTGGGCACCATACCAGCTTATTTGTACAGTTATGTTGAATAAAACATGCAGATACCTATATGTAATATGTGTATATAGTGTAATAACATCACAAACAGTATTGTTGGAGGAGAAATATTAGTGTGTCTGGCCTTGAACCAGCGAGGGCTGCAGCCACCAGCTGACTGTGTGTGTAGCTACGTCTCTTATTGCCTGAAATCACCATACAAGCTTAGATGTACAGTTATGGTGAACAAGACATTGAAATAATTAGGTAATAATATCTTTGTGGCAACTCCTGCCTGACAGCTGGGGTGAAGCAGACCTTGTCTGGCGCCTGCTCTGTCAACACCTCATTTTTGCCAGACTTCCCCACCTTATTGTGGCCAAAATATGCCCCCCTACAATTTTTTTATATTTTTCCCGTGATCAGGGAACACAAATGAACACTTTTATAAGACGAAAGAATTTTTTGGTATTTTTTTTGTGTTGCGCCTATGGGTGATGAAGGCCAAAAGGCCCTTAGCAGCTTAAGGGTTAAAGACACAAAACGACAACACTGATTATTCTCAGACCATTAAACAATACACACAACTAGATTCTTATCTATTACCAAGCATAGATGACATAGTCAATAATTCTGCTAATTACAGTGTTTTCTACAGTTGACTTGAAGAATGATATCACCAAGTTCCAATCAAGGAATGTTACAAGAAGTATACAACTTTAAAATCTGGCTGGAGGTTGTATCACTTCTGTAGAATACCATTTAGTGTAAAAAATCAAGTTGCTGCTTTTCAGTGCTTGATGGACAAACTTGTAGAAGAACATCTCAAGAAAGCTTTTCAATACTTGGACAACATTACAATCACTGGACATACCCAGGCTGTGATATTTATAAATATCACATTCATTAGATTACCGCTATATTCATTTATTCTTGTTGTAAGATTCATTATTATGATGATTTGTAATTCCCTTTTGATACACTTGATTTGTGTTATTTCATATAGGGAACCAAGTTGAATAAAGCTGGAAAATTGTATTCAAGTATATCATTTATCACCATTTACTGTAGTTTACATGCTGAACACCTTCACAAATTTCTAGAAGTGGCAGGCTCAGAAACCTGATATTAATGAATCTAAAATCCATAAAATCAGTATCCTCTGTCAATGTTCTTGGCTATTGTGTAGGGAATGGTACCATAAATCCTGAACTTGAGAGGGTGCATCCCCTTCAGGAATTACCATCACCTATGAATGTGGAACCTTTGAGGAGAGCACAGGGAATGTTTGCCTATTATGCTAAATAGATCCTTAGTTTTTCAGATATACTGGTAATTCAACCTTAAGTAGAGAGTAGGATGTTTCCACTGGTGAAGCAGTCTTGATAGCATCTGAAGTTTTAAAAAAATGACTTGTCAATGTAATTCTACAATCTGTCAGAGACCTGCTATTTGTGGTGTGGAATGCCTCAGAAGTTACCATTTCAACAGTTTTGAGCAAAGGTGGCCATCCTGTTGTATTCATATCCACGACCATGCAGGGTAGTAAACTATTATCCAGCAGCAGAGAAAGAGACTACTGTCATTATAGAAGCAGTGCATAAATGGAGCCATTTCCTAGCCAGGCATAATTTTGTACTGATTACTGACTAATGCACTGTAACATTCCTGCTGGATAACAGAAGGCAACCTAAAATATAGAATAATAAAATGCAAGAATGGAGGTTAGAGTTAATATCACTCGGCTATAATATACAGTATAATTCTGGAAACGAAAATGTAGTTTGTGATAAGCTGACTAAAAGAACATTAAGCTGTTCAACATTTCCTAAATCACTCAGTGAAATTCATAATAAACTCTGCTGTCCTGGAGTGACTCTGCTCCTATACTTTGTGAGATCAAAAACTTTTCATACACAAGAGAAAATGTAAAAAGAACATTTGCTTCTTGCAAGGTTTGCACAGAGGCAGCCAAATTAAAGCCCCAGTTCTACAACCCATCAGAAAGGACACTCATTAAAGCTATTCAACCTATGGAGCAACTCAGCATTTACAGTATTTCAATGGTCCTCTACATCAGCAACCAGCAATCCTTATATGTTCACAGTTGCTGATGGGTATTTATGCTTTCCTTGTGAATTTCTGTGCCCTAATATCCACATGATAACTGTGATCAAATGCCTTTAAGTGATATGTAGTCTTTGTGGAATGCCCAACTTTATCCACTCAGAGGTACAGTACTTCATTTTATGTTCTAGATCCTCAAGGCATACTTAAAAGCAAGTCACAACAAGCAAGACAATGCCAAACCATCCCACAGGATATGAACAGGTAGAATGGTACAATGGTATCACATGGTAATACCATTCATGCTTTCAGATGCATTACATTCCATTAGATCTACTTCAACTAATAAACCCCACACAAGCATTTTTTAGATTTCGGTGATACTCAACTTACAGAAAGTAATCACCATCCTGACTTATGTCCCCTGGTCTAGTGCTACTTTGACATTTTGTTCGGTCTTATAAAGATGACCCTCTAGTTGACCAGGTTGAGCTCACTGATCCAACTTGTGCAAGCATTAGGTATCCAGATGGACATGAATTTACAGTATCTGTGTGATTTGGCTCCATATTCAACGAGTCTGACAACTCCCATGGAACAACTTGTCGAGTCTGATTCACACGAGTCAGCCTTCTCCAGTCCGTGTCACTGGGATGAGAATGATGGACCCCCCACTACACCTAGTATTAAAGATTGCAAATTGTCAAGCAAAAAATTACCCAGTGACAATGTTCCACCTTCTTCAGGAAGACCCAGAAAGTCTGCACTGGTACCAAGGCCTTATGATTATGGCTGAGATTAAGATCATGTATAGTAAATTAGTGTGGTGATGAGAAGTATGTATTTATCTGCTGTGTTCACTTATTATTAGCATACAATATAAAGAAGGGTAGAATGTGACATTTCTGAATATCACTTAATACTAGTATATAGTACTATGTTCTTGTTTGTAGGCATCATTATGATAACTGTAATTCACTTCTGAGATATTGTTACATTTGCTTACCTGTAACTTACTTTTGAGATACTGTACTGTATTTTTTACATTTGCTCTATATCATTTCAGATACTATGTAGTGAGCTGAGTTTATTAAAACTAGATGGTAGCATAAATATGTATAACTGAATCCTGATCACCACATTCACCTTATGGATCCTCATAGTTGGGGCCAGGAAGCCTGTTAGGCTTATCAAGATTTCCCCCTAGTACAGTTACTAACCTTCCCCAGGATGCCACCCATATCAGCTGCCTAACTCCTAAGTACGTATTTACTGCCAGGTGAAAGGAAACATTACCCAATGTAAGAAGCACATACCCAAGTGCTTCTATCCTACAGCAATGTAATCCATTGAACTACATGATTTTATGAATACAAAGTGAGAGGTATATGCTGTAAATGCCAAAACACTGTTGAATTTTATAATCCAGCTAGATAAGGTCATCACGACAAATGAAGGGACCTTTGACAAGCCACCTGCTTCCTGTCTTTGCCAAGGCCACTAGAGAGATAGTAGCTAGGTAAATTAAAGATAAAGAAAGGTGAGAAAATGCCAGCATGATAGAAAAAGCTATGGGGTCCATCTAATTACCACAAGCTACCACAAGCTACACAAGCTTCACAAAGCTTCCTGTCAATACGTTAGTAATGAATAAATATGATATGTTAGGCTGACCTAACCTAACCTGACCTAACCTAACAACCAAACCAAACCTAACCTAACCTAATCTAACCTAACCGACGCTTGGATCGTCGACTTGATTTGGCATCACCAGCTCTTTATTTTCGTATAATTTCTTTATTAAAAGATACTTTTTCAGATTAAAATTATGTTTTTTCGTGTTGTACATTCAGCACAAACATTATAATGAGTAAATATATCATATTTATTCATTAGTAACGTATTGCCAGGAAGCTTTGTGAAGCTTGTGGTAGCTTGTGGTAGCTTGCGGTAATTAGACGGACTGAAGCTATGTGAAATGGTTATTGAAGTACGTTTTGTATAGGGACTTAATGTCCCATTTACACTCATGAATTCAACTGTGGGACAGAAATGGTTGGGCACATTTCCTATCACCTAATGCCCCTGTTCATCTAGCAGTAACTAGGTACCCAGGAGTTAGTCAGCTTGTGGGGTTGCATCTGGAGAGCATACCTGGAGAGGGTTTCCGGAGTATTACTCCCCAAGCCTGGCCTGAGGCCAGGCTCGACCACCTGGGAAAGGTCAGTAGTTTGATCTTGGAGGAAACTTTGATATAAGCGTAATATGTAAATATATTATCATATTAATTATATATTATATACACTGGCTACCTGTCCCCCTGACAATAAATTATAATAATATTGGGAACCACAGAAGATACACACTTAAACTTGTATATTATTTCTGCACATACTGTGTAGCTTCTTTTATCGAGTTTGTTCTCGTTAAGATAGAAAATATTTCTGAGAAACCTACTCTTACCTCTGCTAGCTTCCTGTTGGACAAAACCAGTATGCCTGTCTTCTGAGCCGTCTCCAAGTGGGCCTTGACCCCGCTGGAGGAGGTTTGACCCATATTGAGATGCGGTTGACACTACTGCTCTCAGTCACTGATAGGTAAGTACCTCTGACACAAATTGAACCCCAGTTGACACCAATTAGACTCCAGTTAACACCAATTGGACCCCAGTTGACACCAATTGGACCCCAGCTGACACCGCTCGAGCCCCAGTTGACAACTCTGACACCATCAGCTGACTTCAAGTGTCAACACAGCCTGGCGCCAGCACAATGTTTATTTTGTCAAATATGAAAGATACATACTACTAATGATTATTTTGGTATCTAAAATTAATTTAATTTTAAACTAAGTTATTGAGATATATGTATATATATTACTGTATAAATACCTTTCTTAATTTATTTAACCTTGCTCTCTTTTTTCGTTCTATATCTTGTTATAAGCAAAAAAAAGCAGGATAAGAGTCCAGAAAAAGACGGATTACAACAACAAGTAGACAAGGGAAGGAATATATGAGTTAGGAGAGAGAATAGTGGAGGTATTGAAGATGTTATGAGAGGTGTTTACCAGTGGTGGGAGGGGTAGGGGGTAAGGGGGGGGGGGAGGTCAGTATGGCGAGGGGCTGCCAGCGTCGCCATGGACGGCTCCACCTCCTGCATCCTTCACCGCCTCCCTGACGAGCTCCTCCTCAGGATACTCTCCTGTGACTGTATTACAGTCCACGACCTGGCCACCGCTGCGGCTTCCTGCTCCAGACTCAGGAATATCGTGGAGACGCAGAGGCTGTGGCGTGTGAAGGTTAAGTCCCAGTACGTGTCCTCCTGGACTACAGTACTGTAGTCGGGCTCATAATGTATAATAATACAGTAGCTTCTTGATGCCATTCAATTTTGGGCCAGCTGGTACAACAACTCATGAATTCTTTCTCAAATAAAATATTTTATTTTTATTTTTGGCTTATCCATTTTAGTAATTTTACTATATTGTATTTTTTGTCTATGGTACTTTCTTTTTTATATAATGCCATTAATTACCACTAGGTGGGTCTGACCAAGCTGTATGATAACCTGATTGGTCAATCTTGCAATTCAAAATTTTTATTGGTGAAAAAGAGTACCTAAGTGAATGTTGTTGTAAGAGTTGTAATTAACTCCATGTAACCTACCTTACCCCTAAATGTCAACCCATGTCTTACTACAGTATTTTTAAACAATGCTGTTTGTTGACCAACTTGTATATTGGCTATTTTCTACCATGTTTCCCCCTTTTTTTTTATCTTTTATTTTTTATTTTTTTTATTAATGCAATTTATACTTTAAGATCAATTACTATTAAGTTTTAGTCTAATTGTTTTTTTCCCACCTCACCTTGCCCGAAATGCTATGCATATTAGTGGCTTTAGGTATTGTATGTACTAGCTCTATCTAAAAATCCAACATTATGTTTGTAACTAATCCTCTATGTATGTACTTTTACCTAAATAAACATTTGATTTGAGTTTGAGGCTAAGCCCATCTGTACTAGTTCCTGGAAGGCCATTTCTTGTAAAGGTATCTCACAAGATATAAATCACCCGTTACGGTCACTTGGAGGCCACAGGCGGCAGCTATTCTATTATCCTTTCATTTGTTGTGTTGGCGGAAAATTACTCTTTTGTCATTACAAAAGGGTAATTATAGACAGAAGTTATCTTCCCTTCTTGAAATGATTTCGGGGCTTATCGTCCCCGCAGCCCGGTCCTCGATCAGGCCTCCTTTTTGTTACACACCCCCAGGAAGCAGCCCGTAGCAGCTGTCTAACTTCCAGGTACCTATTTACTGCTAGGTAACAGGGGCATCAGGGTGAAAGAAACCCCTGCTAATTTGTTTCCACCTCCACTGTGGATCCCGGACCCTCAAGACTACGAATCCGCAGTGCTGTCCTCTCGGCTGTCAGGCCTCCTTCGCGTACCACCCGTGTTAAACAGTATCTTTATCTACCGTCAATTCCTCTGAGCATTTTGTAGGTAATGATCATGTCTCCTCTTACTCTTGTTTTCCAGTGTTGAGGTGCATTTCACGCAGCCTGTCCTCGTAACTCGTGCCTCTTAGTTCTAGGACTAGCCTAGTGGCATACCTCCATACCGCTGTGTCAATTTTGTGATGTTGCTGGTTTCAGGAATTCCTTTTGTCAATTTGGTCAATTACTGTTAGTATTTTGTAAGTGGTGATCATATCACCTCTTTTTCTTATGTCTTCTAGTTTTGGCATGTTTAACACCTCCAGTCTCTCCTTGTAAAGCTTTATCTGGGCGATTCTTTTCAGTAAAACTTTGCAGTTCTTCCTATACTGCACACATTTTCTTAATTAATGAGGAAGGGACATCCTCCACTGCCTCCTCCTCCTCCCCTGAAGATTTGTTGTACTGCCTAGCTAGTTCAACAACACGTGTACCATTTTCATGTTTACGAATGATCTCTTGTTTTTCCTCAATGTTTCCTTTTTCATTCTCACGTGTGTTTTCTTGCCTTGAACCTTACCACTGGCTTTCTTGGGGCCCATGGCGAGATATATAACAACAACTTTTATGTTCAAATAGTCAAAAATCCCCCCCAAAAATGTAAATCCGTGCAAAGAATTCAGGCGGGATAGTCACTAGGCGGGAGGCACTGGGAAACTGAGGCGCGATTGCCTTGCCACCGCACGCTAGATCGGTCATACGGGTATCAGCAAACTCGTATTCCGAGGAAAAGTTCGTAACCAGATTCCAATTTTCCGAAGAAAATCGGGCTCGTAATCCGAAAAGTTCTTAAAGAGGGGCATTCGTAAACTGAGGTACCACTGTATTATTATTATTATTATTATTGATGATAATACAGGTATTATTATTTATATTATGAGAAAATCCATAGGAGCCATGATGAGAGTTCGAACCTATGCAGTGGGTTTTCCCCCCAGGGCCTGACAGCTGAGTGGACAGCACTCGGGACGCGTAGTCCTAAGGTTCCGAGTTTGATCCCCGGTGGAGGCGGAAGCAAATGGGCAGAGTTTCTTTAACCCTGATGATCTAGTTCACCTAGCAGTAAATAGGTACCTGGGAATAACAGCTGCTACGTGCTGCTTCCTGTGGGTGTGTAACAAAAAGGAGTCCTGGTTGAGGACTTGGTAGCGGGAACGCTAATCCCAGAAATCATCTCAAGATAACCTCAACACATACACCCTAGTCAACTAAACCACGACCTGGTCGTATACATGCATACATACATACATATGTATTCACCACTGGTGGTACGCGAACAAGGGGACACAGGTGGAAACCGAGTACCCAAATGAGCCACAGGGATGTTAGAAAGAACTTTTTTAGTGTCAGAGTAGTTAACAGGTGGAATGCATTAGGAAGCAATGTGGTGGAGGCTGACTCCATGCACAGTTTTAAATGTAGATATGATAGAGCCCAGTAGGCTCAGGAATCTGTACACCAGTTGATTGACAGTCAAGAGGCGGGACCAAAGAGCCAAAGCTCAACCCCCACAAGCACAAATAGGCGAGTACAAATAGTGAGTACATGCATACATACATACATACATACATACATACATACATACATACATACATACATACATACATACATACATACATACATGCATGCATACATATTTTAAGAAGCACATCAACAAACTGGAAAAGGTGCTAAGACATGCTACTAAGTGGCTCCCAGAACTGAAGGGCAAGAGCTACGAGGAGAGGTTAGAGGCATTAAATATGCCAAAACTAGAAGACAGGAAAAAGAGGTGATATGATCACTGTGTACAAAATAGTAACAGGAATTGATAAAATCAACAGGGAAGATTTCCTGAGACCTGGAACTTCAAGAACAAGAGCTCATAGATTTAAAATAATTAAACAAAGATGCCGAAGAAATATGAAAAAATTTGCTTTCGCAAACAGTGGTAGACATTTGGAACAAGTTAAGTGAGAAGGTGGTGGAGGCCAAAACCGTCTGTAGTTTCAAAGCGTTATAAGACAAAGACTGCTGGGTAGACGGGACACCACGAGCGTAGCTCTCATCCTGTAACTACATTTAGGTAATTACATGCATGCATGCACACATACCTACATACATGGTATGTATATAGGGGGCCTGGTAGCCTGAGGGATAGCACGCAGGACTCGTAATTCTGTGGCGTGGGTTCGATTCCCGCACCAGGCAGAAACAAATGGGCAAAGTTTCTTTCACCCTGAATGCCCCTGTTACCTAGCAGTAAATAGGTACCTGGGAGTTAGTCAGCTGTCATGGGCTGCTTCCTGGGGTGTGTGTGTGTGTGTGTGTGGTGTGAAAAAAAAGTAGTTAGTACAGTTGATTGACAGTTGAGAGGCGGGTCGAAAGAGCAAAGCTCAACCCCCCGCAAACACAACTAGGTGAATACATGCTTCCTGTCCCCAACAAAAATGAATTATAATATTACTTAACATTTGAGTATTAATGAGAGAATTTCAGTAGTCATTATGAGCTGAATAGAGCTATTCTCCAGTCCCCTCCTAACAATAGTATGACCCGACAGAGATGTTAGAAAAATTCCCTGTTGCACCAGGGACCTTGTGATCTTGTCCTGGGGAATATACAAGAGTCTTGGCTGTGGGTAGATTGGGGAAGGTAGACCTGTACAAAACACGTTCAAAGGGGGAAAATTCCTATTGAATAAATCAAAGGATATTAATATTATTAACAGATGAGGTATAATTAAATTTATTATGTTATTTTAAATTATTATTGTAAATTTTATGGTCCCCTATACAATAATCATCATTCAAACTCATTATTACAGCTGGCCTAAAGTATGGGACGAACTCCCATGTAAACACGAAGTCGTCGACTGGCATGATGAAGTGAAACAATTGATGTGCTTTAGTAAACAAGTACGAAAATTAGTTTCTGGCCTGAGCCCTCGTCTGTACCAAGACTTGCACCTCACGGCAAACTTACATCTTACTACACCTGTCTACAATGAAGTGGATGCACTTGTTGCATCAACCAACTATGCTCCCTATTATGTTCTTAATGCATTAAGAATGATTGTAGAAGATGGAGAACAGTAAGTATTTTCTTGTTTAACCATTGCATATTTCAAACGTGTATTCCATCCATACATTTTCCATATACAGTATTCTAATATATATATATATATGTATGTATGTAATGTATGTATGTATGTATGTATGTATGTAGGGAGCAGTGGCCTATGAATCCTATACATTAAAGTATATCATACTTGCCATTGACCAGGGAAGACACCCAGGAAGGTAGGCAAAATGAAACAGACCACTGTCTGGTTGAAAAATGCAACCTATGTCCTCAAAAGAGCAAAAGAACCCCCGCAGGAAGAAGTTCTGGCAGTCGGACGTCGCCTCAGCCATCAATTTCTTGTTTTGGGATTTTTGCCTTGTACGGCTGTTCCTGCACTCGTGGTGTGTGCTTGCCACGAGTTCCTGGGTACTGGAGCTGCATGCATTTAGGGACATTTCACCTCGGTTTGTGGTTATCAGATTAGTTAACAGATTTAGTTAACAGATGGAATGCATTTGGCAGTGAAGTGGTGCAGGCAGACTCCATGCACAGTTTCAAAGTAGATATGATAGAGCCAAGTAGGCTTAGGAATCTGTACACCAGTTGATTGACAGTTGAGAGGTAGGACCAAAGAGCCAAAGCTCAACCCCTGCATGCACAACTAGGCGAGTGCTCCAATTTACTCATCCCTTATCTGATATTCTTCGTGATCAGGCAGCTGCTGCATTGCAACAACAGTTCTCTATGGCAACGGGTCAGGTTGGTTGCATGTTTGGAAGCCCCGGAGCTGCCCTGCTTGGGTTTTAGGGACTTGGATTTGAGGGTGTTGGTAGCTTGGGCCTTGGTTCAGTCTGTGCCTCCATTTCCTTCCCAGATGGGCATTGTTTGCCTAACAACCCCACCCTCCCAGTTCCCCCCTGCCATTTTGTTCTCTTTTTTTTTTTCTCTGAGGACTGTCTTGGCTTTTATTGGCAGCTTCAACTAGTTGTCAGCCTATTTCTGACTTATTGATTTTCTGGGGAAGGGGGTGTGTTGTTCCCAGCCCTCTCGGAAGGGACGGACCAAGGCTATGTGGGGTTGAGGTAGGCCTGTAATTACCCAAGTGTAATTACCTAAGTGTAAGTGTAGTTACAGGATGAAAGCTACGCTCGTGGTGTCCCGTCTACCCAACACTCTTTGTCTTATAACACTTTGAAACTACAATTATATAATATAATAAGTATAACGATTAACCTGTGTGCCAGTTTCTGAGTCGGTGGTGTCCCCGGTGTCTTCTTCATCTGGTTGGCACGGTGTTTGCTCTGCATGGAGGTAAGGCTCACGGGGTTCACGTCGGCCCTTTTCGTAGGTTGCCTCATTGATGGGGGGGAGGCTGGCTCTTTTTGCCTGCACTTGGTTCCACGATTCGTTGGCCTTCTAGGCCGTTTCTTGTGGCCATCAGTGGCATTGGGCAGACCTTCCTATTTTTGGGGGATCGGGTCTGGGGGGGGGGGATCAGGCCTCTTCCCCGTCCATTTGCTCAGGTCCTCTCTGAGTGGGTTCGCATGAGCGTGGTCGAAACAACTTAATCTCTCAGGTGGGTTTCCCACCCGTCTCCGGTTCCAAAACGGGACTGTGTGGATCTCCGGTACATTCTGGACTCATCTCTTTTGAACCAGTTGATTCCTTGCCTCTCCTTTCGGATGACTGCGTTGTCCCAGGTCCGATGACTTCCCTGGTGAAAAAATCCCTATCCATCCAGGGTTCAGGGATTGGTTAGGTTTTGTGGTGGGGCAACAGGCTTTCTGCTTCCATGTCTCCCTTTTGGACTGAATCGGGCACCTCACATTTTTATGCATTTGACTCTGGTCGTGGTGACCCGTCTTCGTGTGCTAGGTCTTTGGGTTTTGGCCTATCTTGACGACTGGTGCTGGTTGTCGTCGGTCTGGTTGTCTGCAGCCAGGGATCTGGCTCTTTCCCAGCTCTCCGGGTTTGGGTTCCTGGCAAACTGGCGGAAGTCCCAGTTGGTTGGCCTTGTGTAGGATTCTAGGACTAGGTGCTTCAACTTAATGCTCCACAATACATGTCAGGTATTTCTGATGCATGTGTGTGTATATCCCCATATGAATGGTGACAAATGGCTTCTTTGGGTGGCTTCTTTGAAGTTGTCCCACCTGCGGTCTTCTCAGTGACAATATGAAAATTCTTCTCGGGCTTTCCCCCATTTTTTTCTCATTGTTGGGTTTTGTCGATGCCGGATGGTGGTTGTCTTGTCCTTTCTCTCTTGGCTTTTCCTGGATCAGCATCTCATGCCGAATATTGTCGCTTCTTATCGTGCTAGCATTGGCGGAGCCACTGCAACTTGTGTTTAGGGTGGATATCACTTCTGCTCCATTGTGCAAGCTTATTCGTGCATTTTTTCATCTCTGATCTGCCTTCTAGGTCTTTGGACTAGATTCTTTCCTTTTTCACCTCGGTTTGTGGTGGCCCCTTTGGTTTGACATGATTTTTGTTGGCCCTGGGAATTGGGCTGAGGAGCTTCATGCTCTTCTGTGGCACCAGGGGTTTTGTTCCTTTGGTCCTGGTAGTTGTTTTGTTTGTTTGCAGCCATCACCTTCTTTTCTGGCAACGAATGAGATGACGGGCTTCCGAAGGTGTAAGGTTGGTTGTGGATGCTTGGTTGGTTAGGCCGTGATGCCTCACGTGCGGTGTCCTGTGGCCACTTTACGCTGTTACCAGCGTGCCACCAGTTCTGTGTCGGTGGACGTTCTGTAGGTTGATCCGGTTTCCCTGGTTCCCTGTTCCAGGGCTCGTGTGTCTGAGGTTGTCCGCAGTGTCATTATGTTTAACTGGCTTGTGGTTTATCCTCGTACCCATAATGTTAGGAAGTGTGCTGCTCTTTCGACTGTCTTTGATTGGTTTTCAGGCTCGGGTTATGGAGTTTGGTCACGGTCCAACCCGTTCTCGCAAATTTAATAAGTCAATATTGACTTATTAAATATGTGCATAGGTGACATACTTAACATAATAGTTTCCCTTGAAAAGCTTTATAGAAAACACCGACCTTACCTAACCTACTTAGTTTGTTAAGATAAGCATCTTATTGCTTCGTAATTACAATTATTACCTAACCTATACCTATAATAGGTTAAGTAACAATTGTAATTACGAAGCTATAAGATGCTTATTTTAACATACTAAGTAGGTTAGGTAAGGTCGGTGTTTTCTATGAAGCTTTTCAAGGGAAACTATTATGTTTAGTATGTCACCTATGCACGCAACTAATAAGTCAATATTGACTTATTAAATTTGCGAGAACGGGTTGCACGGTCCTGGCAACCAGGCCCTCTGCAGCTTCTGTAGCGGACGGCTGCCTTTGTCGAATTGTGATTTGCGGAGTTGCCACCTCCAGGGTTTTCCCTGTTTTCCTTCTATGTGGGTAGTTAGCCTCAGGGAGCCAACAGGGCGTTCCACAGAAAAACAGCATTGAATGTAATGAAACACCAGTTTCTGAGTGAGCCCTGGAGGCTCCTTGATACTTTCCTTCCTTCCCTTCGTTTGGCAGTTTTCATCGTTCAAGAACTGAAGTGCACCTCTCTGAGGGGAACAGGTTCTGGCTCGTGGTCCCCGGTAGGCATAAGAACCCCTGTGACTGACGACCCCAAACTAATATAGCACATATCAGTTCAGATAGCTTCGGGGAGCCTCCCGGGCTCACCTAGAAAATGGCATTTCATTACATTCAAAGCTGCTTTATTTTTTAAGGCTTCAAATGTCGACTTGTATGCTGGCATATACAGTACTTCTCTCTATGATATGAGCATTGGTATTAGTTTACTATTCAGGACCACCCTCATATCTCTTTCCTTGCCAGAGATATTTTAACCCCTTAACTCCACAGCCTCCAAACATGATACCCCCCCCCAGTGCACAGGAAATAAACTATCTGGAAAAAATTCTTTTCTGTTTTTAAAGTGTCAAAAACCCTTCCCTAAGGAAGGGTATAGTAACAGAAGGTCATAATTGTAAGTACTTTAGCTGCTATGGGGTCCGTAAATTTGTGCGTGATGTCATCATTCCCTGGTCGCCCGTGGCATACGCCCCGAGGGCTGGTAGGGCGCTCGGGGCAGGATGCACGAGTTGCTGCGAATATATTTTTGTTCATTTTCTGCGCACAGTTCCAAATACATTTTATATGCTTTTACCTGCCAATCCTATGTATAATGAACACGAACACTATATTATGGCAGTAGAACATCCGTACTGTCCGAAGACACTGTGTTACGTGCATGACACAAGTGTACACATATCTGGCACATATTTCCATTGTATTATGCTAATTTATGTATATATACAGTATATTTACACACTATCACACACTATATACATTCACCATGTACACATTCAGAACTATGCGAGTGTCAGCTACCACACCCTCACTCCTCCAACATCTTACTCGCCAACATTGCTCCTCCCACCATACTGTTATTGTTTGTATTACACTATTTACACATGTTATGTATACCTATCTACATGTTTTATTCACCAGAACTATGCAAGTAAGCTGGTATTGTGTCCAAACTTTACAGTGGCCACCATACACTGCATGAAAAATCACACAGCAGCCAGCAGACGACGCTACTATTACGTCACCTCCCTCACCAAAATAGCTCCTCCCAACATACTCCTGTTGCTGTTACTACACTATATACACACATTGTATATATCCATGTACAAATGTGTTCACCATAGAGAACCACTAAGCTAGTATGATGAGCAAAACAAGAATGGCTGCCACACAGTGAGGCTACTTCAATCTCTCCCTCGCTCCCTCACCACAATTACTCCTCCCACAATACTACGCACAGTGTTTATTATCACCACAATCCTGCTGTTATCACAATACTGGTCACTAAATCCTGTAAATACATAATTGACCACAAGTTTATTTTGTAAAGGAACCTAAGAAGTCATTTGAAGATTCTTAGATGGACGAAATAATGCCGTAGTGCTGTGGCTAGCACTGTGAACATCGTGAACAGCATTGAATCACTAATATTTGAACATTGTACACAGTCATTATCACACTCGGGCTCTTCTATAATACTATCATGACTAAATAATACAAGTTATTTTGACATTATTAGGCCATGCTGTGGTCATAAGCTGAACAGCAGTGCTGTGAGCTCATGCTGCGTGTGCCGGCCTTGGTTGCTCACTCACTACTGAGGCTCTCACACCCGGGAATATGGACCACGATTTTTTTTAAAGATGGTGTCTGTTTACAAGAGCCCTGAGGAAGCTGATGTGAACCCCATGTAGCCACGGGCGTTTAGAATGGAATGTGAAAAATACAAATACCCGGAGGTACACCCCAGACGTGGGCCTGCAAGTGCATTGCGCAGTTAAAGGGTTAAGGTCTTTTCACATGCAGTACTTTGTAGGTCGAATATGGCTTAGTTTTACTTATTCTGCTGTCCATTATGTGGTATTTATCCCATTGGATTCCATTTGCTATGCCAGGGAAGTGTTTTTATCCCATCATAAGCATCATGTGCTTATTTTGTCATTTTGAAGGGTACTTACCTGAATTTACCTGAGGGCGACTAACACTAGTGGCCTCGATGAGGACAGAAAGCTGATGGGTTGTCAGAGGTTCCCCCATTTGCCCTGATGTTTTTTTCAATCTGGATTTTAAAATTCAGCAATGTTTTGGCCTTTGTCTACAGTGGACAGGCAGTTCTATGGGTTTATAATGCTCTGGGTAAAAAGGCATCTCCTGTATTCTGTCCTACATTGTGGCTTGTTGAGCTTGAAACCATTGCTCCTTGTTTGTTTTATATCTGACATTTTGAAGTTGTTTGGATCAATATTCTCCAAACTGTTCAGTATTTTAAAAGTTTTGAAGAGATATGCCCTGTCATGTCTAGTTTGCAGTGTTGTTAGCTCTGTGGCCCTTAACTGTTCATGGTAAGAAAAGTCAACTTGGTTCTAGAATGATTTTTGTTGCCTGGTGTTGAATGTTCTCTTAAGCAGCTGTCTTTCTGAAGATGAGGTCTCCATGTTTGAATACAGCAATCCAAGTGGGGTGCACCAGAGATATATATATACGCAGTTGAATAACTACCTTTTTTCCTTAAAGTCAAAGGTTCCCTTCAGTATTCCTAGGGTTTGGTTAGTTTTTTTCTGCAGCTCCCACTTATGCAACTTTCAGTGAAGGCTGGATTTTGATTCTAAGGTCCTTCAGTCTGCTGCAAGGTAATGTTAATTTGGTAGTTATGCTATCTTTGGTATGAGATATCTGTGTTCTCTATTTCCAGTAGTTTAACATCATCTACAAATAATCTACAAGAAGCTTTACTCTTATCTAGACAAACACAATATACTTAGCTCTTGCCAATATGGCTTCAGACCTCAAAAAATCACTAACGATGCACTTATTAGTATGATTAACTTGATACATGCAGCTCTTGATAAAAATGAGTTTCCTGTTGGATTATTTGTTGACCTACGTAAGGCTTTTGACACTGTCAACCACCAAAACCTTAAATTACATCATTATGAAGTCAGAGGTCACTCTCTCCAATATTTTCAGTCTTACCTTACTGACAGGCTCCAGTATGTTTCTGTGAATAATTCCATTTCTCCCACCCTACTCATCAACATTGGTGTTCCTCAGGGCAGCATACTTGGCCCTCTCCTCTTTCTCATATACATTAATGACCTTCCACATGCCTCTCAACACCTCAAACCAAGTCTATTTGCTGATGACACAACTTTCATTTTCTCCAGTCCTGACCCTCTTGCAAGAGGGTCAGGACTGGAGAAAATGAAAGTTGTGTCATAGTGAATACTGAACTAAATAAAGTCCATCTTTGGCTAACTGCTAACAAACTCACCCTTAACATTGACAAAACTTCCTATATTTTGTTGGGTAATAAATCCTCAAAGCAAATTAATCTAAGAATAAACAATATCCAAATTAGTAATAGAGTAGATGGCAAATTTCTTCGTGTTCTCATCGATAACAAGCTGAATTTCCAGGGACACATTCTAAATATATCAAAATATATCTATCCTTAAATAAATATATCCTTACCTCAATTATGGTGTTTGTGCTTGAGGTTCTACTATACAAAATCATTTACGTCCTCTAATTACTCAACACAAAGCTGCTATTAGAACAATATCTAACTCTGGCCCCAGACAGCACTCGGTACCCTTACTCAAATCTTTGAATATGTTAGATTTTAAGTCACTACACATCCTCTCATGTGTACTCTATATATTTAAATCTCTGAACTGCAATATCAATCCTGACCTTAAAAGTTTCCTAGAAGGTTGTAACAAAACCCATGTTACCACCACACCAAAAACAAATACCAACTTTGATATTCCAAGAGTGTGACTTAAACTAGAAATGCTCTACAACTCTAGGGACCCAGAATGTGGAATGACCTCCCTAATCATGTCAAAGGCTGTACCTCTCAACCAGTTTTTAAGAGTAGAACTAAGTACTACCTAATTAACTCCCTGTAACCTACCTTACCCCCTAAATGTCAACCCATGTCTTGCTATTCTTAACAATGCTGTTTGTTGACCAACTTGTACAATTGTTGATTTTTACCATGTTTCCCCCCCCCCCCTTCCCCGACACAATTTATACTTTACTTCCAATTACTATTAAGTTTTAGTCCAAGTGTTTTTCCTCCACACCTTGCCCGAAACGCTATGCGTATTAGTGGCTTTTAGGTATTGTATGTGCTAGCTCTATAAATCCAACAGTATGTTTGTAACTCTGCATCTATGTATGTACTTTTCCTAAATAAAATATTATTATTATTATTAATGTTCACCTGCCTCCACATCCCTTCATGTAGATCATATATACAGAAAATAAGCATTACTGGTGCTAGTACCTAGCCTTGTGAGACTCCACTACTGATATTCCTCCAGTTTGTTTCAAAGTCTCTACCACTTCTCTCATCTTTCTATTTGGAAATTGTTCATCCATGCTAATCTGCTGGTTTTCAGCTTCCAGAACATTCTTCTATGCGAGACTTTGTGGTGCCTTTCTTAGGTCCAGATGATACCATATGTCTTAACTGTATCAGTCCTGTAAGATCTCTGTGACCCTGCTATATAAACTGAGTAAATTTGTTGCATGTGACCTTCCAGTTTGAAAACAAATCTGCATGTCTATTATGATGTCACTTTTGAGGTATTCTACCATTTATCTCTACTTGTACAATATCATAATTACCTTAAACAATGTAGTACTGTACAGATCTTAGTAAGATCAATAAATATGAATAGCCTTCACCATTTCAAGTTGACTAAAAACTCCTGTATTGAGAAAGACACCCGTGGGAACCATCAAGGTCCGATCCACAAGAACAGCAGCAGCAGCAGCAGCAGCAGGCTATTCAGCCAAGACCTAATTGGCAGCGGGTGTTGCCAGTGTTGACCTCATCCCGCCGTGCTATAAGGGGGGTTGCATGCGATAATATTGGAATTGTGGATTTTTTTCATTAATATGGATGTCTTCTTTATCCATTACTAAAATAAATTATAGACATTATAATCAGTATTGGCCAGTGTGAGTTGCAAAACTATGAAAATATGTTAGCCCACTTGCATCCTGGCAAGTGCCCATTGCCACCACCACCACCACCACCTTTGAAGTGAACCAGGCAATGGAAGCTGGTGGGTTTGCTGGACACTAATATTTATTACAATAAGTTTGTGTGGCTGTACTGTACTTTGTTGTAATTTTTCTTTAAATTTTGAAGTTAAATGGGTTGTTTACATAGGCAATGCCCTACTTTCTGAATGACATTATTGTTTCTGTTAACATCTGTGTAACCACAGGTCTTTGTGGTGCTGTTCCTCATTCTGGATGTCTTTGTGTCCAAGTCAACTTTAGAATGATGATTTCAGAGTTACATTTCTTTGATTGATTGATACATTTCTTTGCCTTAATTTATAACAAGTGTGGTTACTAAAAGCTAAATTAAAAAATAATATTAATAATAAACAGTATCTTAAATAATTTTGTTGCTAATCTATTTCATACTTAAAAATTTTGATGATGCCATTGGAAAGACCAGACACAGTCCTATAGTTGATAGTTGTGCTAGAGGAAATATCTAATTAATGTCTCCTAATAATAATAAAAATTGTGAATCTGGTGTTTTGATTTTTGTATAAAAAACTTTAATAAAGAAAAAAATTCAAATAAAGCTCGGATACAAATGTGAAACCAGCTGAGTTGTGTATTATTTGAAAATGTTAACAAAATTGGACGAAAACTAACAAACTGAAACAGAAAATGTAAAAGTTGGAGGTTTTGATGTTGGAATTTTCCAGATAAAAATGTATCAAGACTAATTCTCAACAATGTCCATTTTAATTATACAAATTTGTAAATTGTTACGGCCTCACTTAGCCAGTAAAGGGTTCTTTTCATTTCAAACTTTTATCAAATTTTCTATGGGGCCCTTAGTGCCTCTCCTTATTAGATTCAACCCAAAGTCATAAGAAAGTTATTCAGAACTGGAGGTAATAGTCACTCCAACAAGAATGAGGGGGTGGGGTAAACAACACTGAAACCATACCGTCACCACGTGTACTTCTTAAATATAAACTTTTGCGTCATTCAAAAACAAAACTAAAAGGTACTTAATTTCATCTTCATAGTTTTCTACCTTGTTGCTTTAAAATTGCACTGTATCTAGTGCTACCCAATCTCCTAATCTTTATGTACCCAATCCAAACAACTTAACCATTGTGATCATTGCTATCTTATGTGCTATCAATTTGCTGTATGGTGCCTATTAATCTTTGTTTAAATTACCAATCAAGCTGTTAATGCAATCAATCAGAGCTTTAATATACCTATTAATCTCTCTCATATCATTTTTTTTCTTGCAATGTATCTATTATCATTTTATTAATTCTGCTAGGATTTATCTACTTAAAATTATTTGTTAGATTAAGGACCTGCTCGAAATGCTGCGCGTACTAGTGGCTTTACAAGATTGAAAATACCATGCTATTTATTCTCACAAACCCAATATACCTTCTTGTAAATAAATAAATAAATTAATAAATAAATAAATAAATATGTTCTATTGTTCAACACTAAAGGTACCCCTCCCTGAGTCTGTCATCTATAATGCTCATGCCAGTGAGTCCATCTTTCACAATGAATCATGGGTCAGTCCTCTACAATATCGTCACAGTATCAAAACAAGAATTCTACTCTTCAGCAACACACTGGCTGGCTTCCACACAGGCTTTAACTATAACAAGCCTTAACAGACGGACATTAATTCCATCTCGTAACTCAACTTGGCCATCCCGGGATGCATTGGTCCAATCACCAATACTTGGCTGGGTATCACAGACAAATCACAGTCTACACCGACTCAGCCTACTTGTTCCCACTGGAACGTGTCTCAAGTTCAGGACTGCCCTGGGTGAACTAATGCTTGTTGACCAAGGTACCACCCACATCACTTCTGAGGAGTGAAAGATGAATAGTAAGAAGGAAACTACACAGGTGTCAATAAGATCACAGCCTTCCATTGGGGAGAACAGAAAATGGGGTTGGTGCACTCAACAAATGGCGGCGACATCGTCACATAAATACTTTAAAGTTACTTATATTTACTTAATATGACCTAAGTTTGGTTTCATAGGCCGCCAAAAATTATCCAAAACAATATATTAGTTGGTAACTCGTCATTATTGCATGTTTTTCTTCCAACTAAAAAATCTTAAATACTTAGTTGACTGATTTTTTCAAATAAAGGTCAAAATGTAGCTAATAATCTAGGCAATAAAATGGTAATATACTGTACAGTAATAAAATGAACAACATACCAACGAAAATGACTGAATTGACATCCCCCCCCCTCCAAGAATAACTTGTAATGCTAGCTTATGACTCGATGGTGAATCCTGTCTTTGTTGCAATCTGCATTTCTTAATATTAAAAAACTTCACTATTACTTCTCTTGCTTTTCTAGTAGATTCAAATAGCAAAATATAATGTTGCTGTAATTAAATCTAATACTGTACTCTTATTACAAATACTCTTTTTAAAAATTACTCATAATGAGCAATTACTGTGGCAGTAATGGTTAGTGCAACTTGTAAACATTCGTTGCTGCTTGCCACCCTGTGTGTGGTCCCTCTACTCTGCAGCAGTGATAGCTGATACTCGATGGTTTATACAGTAGCTCGCTCTCTCTCTCTCTGTCCAAGTAACTAATGAATGTTTGTACAATTAGATGGAAATTTTATCTTTAGATACCATGAAAATACTTGCTGCTGTAATCATTAAGGTCTCTCCTTGCCATTTGTATGAATAATCAAGAGTTTGCATGCATGGATTGATTCTTGTCAGTAAATCAAAATAAGCTTGTAAACCCATGCTGCATAACACATGACCTGTATTTATTTTGAAAGCTGTTTTTATTAACCCTGATTTTGAAAGGTTTCCATATACATGTACTGTAATATTATAACCAGTGATGTGGCAGAAATTTCAATTGAAATTGGTTAGACAGGCATTTAACCACATTACCATTGACCATGAACAATAACTAGCATTCCTCACTAATTTTGCATAGTCAGATAGAGTAATTTACAGGACATTTAAACTTTTTGGGTGAGGATATGATAAATTGGTAAAGTGACAAGATTTGAGGGACTCATATTAGAACCATTGTCATGGTTCCCACACCAAACATATCACAAACATTTTCCATTGTTGTGTGCTGTGTAGTTATTGAATGGTATCACCATATTTGCCGGCATAAAAGACGCACCCTCACATACGACGCACCGCTATTTTACAAGGATATTTTGTGGAAAAAATATTTTAGTATGTTTCATCATACATTTATTGAAAGATTTTCTGTGGAGAGCCCCTTCGGCTCCCTGGAGCCATACCGGGCTGATGTGAATATATTAGAACGTGGCAACAGTCAATCGAGGGAATGCTAGCCTACCGGGGACCATGAGCCAGAACCTGGCCCCCTCAGAGAGGCTCGAGGATCAATGGCCTATAGACGCCCCCATGTAGTTGGAAGCAGTCTGTCTGCTATCTACCAGGACAAGAACCCAGAAAAGTAGGAATCCCAAAACAAATTACAGCTGATTAAGAATTGCAAACTGAAAGTTGAACAAGTAAGCAGAACTCCCCAATCAGAAAACAAGCAAACAAGCATGTCGTCACCACAGCTGCACAGACAGTTCTGAGGCTGTTGTGTTGAGTGGTGGTCAGTCGACTGGCTCCATCCTTTGAGCAGTGCCGTGTTTAACGGTGCTCTTCTCCTGTGTGGTGGTGTGCAAGCCAGGTGTAATTCAAGAAATACTGGGGCAGCATGTGCCTAGGGTCACCTTCCCTAGGTGCCCTGTAAGTACTGCCCTTGCAGTTTGGGGTTACCTTCCACAAACTGTTTGGGAACTACCTCCACAGGGCTCTCTTTGCTGCTGGGTGATTGACTGCACTTGGGGTCAGCTGGGGTTTTTCTCAACACTGTTTGGTAGGAGGTAGTATCGTTGCTGGCTGGGGCATGAGGTACTGTGGAGCCGTCTTATAATACGCATAGCGTATTATATTATTCTGTTTATCTTGGAGATGATGTGCCTTTGCAAGGTGTTTCTTTTTTTTTCTTTTGTTTGCCTAGTGGGGGTCTGCCTGATATGGCTGTAGGACTACTTGTATTATTTTGGTGGCCCTCCACTAGGTCCCTGTGATTGCACATGTTGCAGAGGTTCAGCTTTTGTTTCTTCTCTTGGTAGTTTTGGGTTAACTGGTTAGCAGTACCTTGCCTGGGCTTCCCATAGCAATCAGCCTAAGCACCCTAGAAAACCCCATTTGGGGCTCATTGGACCAATTGATGTGTTCTCTGAGTCCCATATCACTTCCTGCGAGTTTGAAGGTTGCTCTGTTCCCCCCCCCCCCCCTTGTCTAAGGGTGACACTCACCGTCTTTGCCTCTGCCATGCTGCCTGTTGGGTCAATGATATTTTTGACACCAATCCTGTGAGTGGTGTTCCATGCTCGTACTCCAGTTCACCCAGTCCTCTGATAATGATATTCCGGTGCAGGCAGCTTCTGCGTTGCATGTGAGGTTTAGGTTGCTGCAACATGCTAGGTTGGTTGCCTTTCCGGATGCCTCGCGGCTGCCCCACTTGGGTTATAGGTACCCGGATTTGGGGCGTTAGTCACCACGACTTTGGTTTCATCCGCGTTGCCTTGTCCTTTCCCTGCTGGCCCTCCGCCTCCCCCCTTGCTCCCGGATCACAAACGTCTGAGGGTTTCTGAGTCAGGGCAGGGCTTTCTTTGTGGTGAGACTTAGGCGGCTTCGGGGACTGCCCCTTTCGGATCGGCGGCGGAGGCATTCAAGCCTGTTCTTCCTGCCGGGGCTTTCGGGTCATGCCAGCGGACCCTCCTCCTTCCCTGCTTTTCCGATGGACCTTCCTCGGTCCATCGACCAAAGGCAGAGGGTTTGGAGGATGGCTCTGCCCCGGAGGATCTCAAGGCTGGGGGAGGAGTTGACTTGGGGGGACTTGGGCCACATTTGACCTCCGCTTGGATGTTGGTACCCTTGGCGTGGGGAGTGTTGTTACAGGGGGAATGGGTTTTCGTATCTCCCTGTGCGAGTTTGATATGAGTTCGGCTCCTCCCCGGGTTTGGTTCCAGGTTCCTTTGTGTTCTTCGGTTTCCTCCTTCCAGAGGTTTTCGGCTTCCCGCATCCCGCCTAAGGAGGATCGGAGGCCATTGCGGCTTATATCCTGCGAGACCCGGATTATGCCTCGAAAATGGATCCTTCTTCTTTTGAGTTTGGCTCCTCTTTTCCTTACTGGGCGAGTTACGATGTGCCGTAGTCTTCCTGGCTGGCAGACTGCCCTTTCTTTTCATTGGGGGCATGGTATTCGTTTTATCGGTCCTGCACGCTTGAATGGTGTGAGTTGACTACGGTCGTTCAGGTTTACCTGGGAGGCGAGTTGGAGCATCTCAATGTGTGCTTGTTCTTCCCTGTGCATCCTCGCAATGTCCGCCAGGTACAGCTTCACGTGCAGGTTCCCTCCCTTTCAGTGTCCCTGGTTGCTGAGGATTTGCGCGCCTGTGGGCATTTGGCTTCGGTCCTGCACTTCTTTTCCCTGCTGGAGCTGTCTTCGGCCTGGCTCGAGGAGGATGTGGAGGCATTTAGTGAAAGGCCTTCTTCTGGTGTACTGTCCTCGGCAGCTCGGGCGTCAGCCACACTGTTGAAGCTGTTTGCGCCAATCCTGAAGGAGGCGGTGTTGTGTGTTTGTTCTTTGCTTCTCGCCTCTCATGCCATCAGGCTGTGTTTGCTCTCTCTTTGGAATTCACTTGGGCCCTGGCTCTTAGGTTTTCATTGCCATTTTGTCCATTGCTGTTTGTGGAATCTACTGTCACTCAGTTTCTGCAGGCCGCTTCCTATAGTTGTCGTCCTATGTTGGAAATGTTGGCTCTCCAGGGCAGCCGTTCTCGGCCTATGTCGGACTTGTTGGTTATCCATGGCAGCTGTTCTTGGCCTTCTCGGCCTTCCTTCAAGGATCGATCATGTCAAGGCTCAGGGTTCCGCTGGTTGAGATGGGCCATTGGTGCCAGCTTCTGAGCCGACGTTGTCTACGGAGCCAGAGTCATCTGCTTAGCACGATGTTCATCAGCCGGCTTCTTGTAAGGGGCATCGGCCCTTTCTGGGTTCGCCTTGTTGATGGGGGGGGGGGGAAGGCTCGCTCTGTTTGCTCGTGCTTGGTCCCACGATTCGTTTCCATTTTATGGTCGTGTCATCCGGCCTGTTGCGGCATTGGGCGACTCCTTTCACCTTGGAGAGTTCGGGGCTGCCGGGGGCAAACTTTTTCCCCTGCGCTTTGTCAAGTCATCTCGGAGTGGGTGCGCTTGGGTGTGGTCGAAGCGACCCCATCCCTCAGGTGGGTTTCCTGCCTGTTTCCAGTGCAGAAACGGGACTGCGCGGATTTGAGGTTCATTCTGGACTTGTCCCATCTGAGCCCCTGGATTATCTTGCCCCTCCTTTCTGATGACCACTCTATCTCAAGTTCGGCTTCTTTTTGAGCCGGGTGCCTGGATGGTGTCCCTGGACTTCAAGGACGCGTATTGGCACGTTCTTATTCATCTGGGGCACAGGATGCTGGTTAAGTTTCGTGGTGGGGCGTCAGGCTTACCGATTTTGTTGCCTTCCATTTGGCTTGAATCTGGGACCTCGCTTATTCACGCATCTTACTCAGGTCATTGTGACTCATCTGCGTCTGCTAGGGGTTCGGTTCCTGGCCTACCTCGACGACTAGCTGGTGTGGGCTCCCAGTCAGTCTGCTTGTCTGCTTGCCAGGGGTGTGGTTCTTTCCCAGCTCTCCGGTTTCGGGTTCCTGGTGAACTGGAGGAAGTCCCATCGGGTTCCATCCCAGGTTCGGACCTGGCTGGGTCTTGTTTGGGATTCTCGAATTGCTTCCATGTCTCTCCCTCCGGAGGTGCTGAGGCTGCGGTCATGCCTTCAGCTGTTTCTGGAGGGGTGTCCCTGGTCGCTCCGTGGTTGCTTGAGTAGTTGTGCGGGAATTTGAACTTCGCTGCGCTGGTCTACCCGCTGGGTCGGGTTTGGCTTCAGCATCTGTTTTGCCCCGGAGTACGAACACAGCAATTGCGAAAGAAGTGGAAGGGATGCCCATTTCTCATCCATCTTGCGATCGCTGGGTTCGTACTCTGGGGGGCCTTGCGTCGGTTGCTGCGTCACCGGCTTCCTCATTTTCGGGGTTCCAGTGCCTTGTCGCCTACCCGAGCCCTCGCTCGATGTGTTCATGGACACGTCGTCTCTTGGCTGGGGTTTTGTGACCAGTGCTCACCAGGCTGGCCATAGGATCCATCTTTCCGTCGGGCTCACAGCACGATGTGGGAGTTCGCGGCAGTTTGGCTTTCTCTTCGCAGGGTTCGGGTCGCTCGGGGTTCGACTATCCGATTCCATTCGGACTGCTCTCCAGTGGTTCATTGCCTGAACCGCAGGGGTTCTCTTTGGTCCTTGCCTCCTTGGGGCTGGTTGCTTTGAGTGGCTTGTCTGCTGTCTTTTCAAGGTTTGGCTCTGTGTGATTCATATTCGGGGAGTGTCCAGTGTCCTGGCGGATGGTCTGTCTCGGTCCATTACCCTGTCCAAGTAATGGACGGTCGACACCGACTCCTTCCGTTGGTTCTGCCAGACGTATGGACTCCTAAACATGGACCTCTTCGCATCGGTGTGGTCTCGGCGTCTCCTGATCTATGTGGCGCCCTTTCCTGACTGCAAGGCTGTTGCGTTGGATACCTTTCAGCAGGACTGGTCAAGGTGGGTTACCTGTACCTTTTCCCCTCGATCCAGCTATTGCTTTGGGTTCTGGCTCTGTTGGAGTCCTACCAAGGGAGAGTAGTCATCATGGCCCCTTGGTGGCTGGCCCAGCCTTGGTTACAGGTTAAGTTTTGTTAAAATTAAGTTTTAAGCTTGCTCGGTGTGAGAACCCGAGATGTTTTCTGCAGCTCCGTCTCTTCCAGCAGGTCAGACCATCCGGTATACACGGCTGGTTTGGTCTTCTCCTCCTCTCTTCACGTCTGGTCTTCTTGAAGCGGGTTTATCTCCATGTGCATGGTGATCAGGTGGCTTCATTGATTGTGTTGCACCTGAGAGCTTTGTCTTGGCGACAGTATGAAGTTTTCTGTTCTTTCCTCCATTTTCTCTCTCTTTGTAGGTTGTCTTCTATTTCTGATCGGGTTGTCTTGTCCTGTCTGTCTTGGCTGTTTTAGGACCGTCATTTGATGCCTAATACTGTCGCCTCATATCATGCGGTGCTGGTGAGCCGCTCCAGCTTGCATTCGGGGTGGATGTCACTGCCCCGTTCTGAAGGCTTTCTCGTGCTTTATTTCACCTCCGGCCTGCTCATGTACCACCTGAGCTGTCCTGGTTCTTGGACAGGGTGCTCTCCTATTTTTCCTCTCCTCGGTTTATGGTGGTCCCATCAGTTCAAGATTGTTTTTCCAAAGCTCTTTTTCTGTTGGCATTGGCCTCTGGAGGCAGGTTCAGTGAGCTTCGTGCTCTTTCAGTCCTGGTGGTCGGTTTGTTCAGTTGCAGTCTTCTCCTCCTTTTCTGGAGAAGAACAACACTGCTGCTTTCCAGAGGGGTCCTTTGGTCATTGATGCTTGGTTGGTCAGGCCACGGGTGCATCGTGTGTTGTGTCCAGTTGCAGCTCTTCACCGTTATCTGCACACTTCGGCTTCAGTGGCTGGGTATGTGCTTTGGGTTGATCCAGTTTCCCTTGTTCCCTGTTCCAGGGCTCAGGTCTCCCAGGTCATCCGCAGGGTTATTAAGTCTAGCCAGCCTGCAGTCTATCCTCGTGTCCATGACGCTAGGACATTTGCTGTGTTGGCTGCCGTGTTTGGCGACATGTCCTGGACTGATATTTGGTTGCGGGGATTTTGGAGGTCGAACAGGGCCATGGTCGCCCATTATTTGGTTAATGTTCCTGCTCCTAGGCGTTCCTGTGTTACTTTGGGTCGCAGGTTGCAACCAGTTGTCTCGATTTTGCATTGAGGTGTATGTGGCGGCCGTCTCTCAGGCAAGTCTCTCTTTTCCTTATCTTTGGTTATGTAGCCCCAGGGAACCGTAGGAGATCCCCACAGAAAGCCAGCGTTGAATGTAATGAAGTGCCATTTTCTGGGTGAGCCCCAGAGGCTCCCTGGCAACCCTCCCTCCCTCACGGTCGGCGGTTATTCGGATTGTTTGATGCTTAGCTTCCGAACTGGAGTGCTAGGTAGCTGGTCCGGGGCTTTCCCCCCTCTTCCTCTCAGGGAAGGGAGGGCTGTGCGGATGAGCCGTGCGGCAGTGGAGTGTGACGTTTCCTTGTTTTCTTAGGAATAGAGGGAGTTCTGCCTCTATTTGGTTTTTAATTTTCTTAGCATGTGGGGTTTGTTTTGTTATGCCTACCTTTCTGGGTGCCCAACCCTGGTCGATGGCAGATAAGGAAAACCCCTCCCAACCAAAGGGGGCTTTTTCCAGGGCCATTGCTCCCTGCATCTCTGAGAGGGCTAGGATCTGGCTCATGGTCCCCAGTAGGCTGAACTCCAGAGACTAATGCCCCGGTCTAATGTATCACATATTATCCCGACAGCTCCAGGGAGCCTCCGGGTCTCGCCCAAAAAATGGCGTTTCATTACATTCAATACTGGTTTTTTGATACATTTAAAAATAAAAAAGTGCGTCTTGTATGCCGGCAAATATATAGATTAATTTAATCAGATACAATGCCTGGGTCCATATCACATTCCTAATTGTACCTTATTCTTTGCTGTTCAGATATGAAAACATGACGGAGAAGTACTATGCTTTAAAGGTAATGAGTCATGTTCATCAAGGAATATGCATACGTGAATGGGAGGAGTTTATGGCACGGCCACCAGCTCAGCAGTCTTTGGAAACAGGTGCAATACTTATGGCAAGATGGTTCCAACCACATGCAGATGTTAGCGTAAAGCAGGTATGGCAGTTCAAGTACTCTCATGATTGTATATAACTGTGTGTGTGTAAAAATTTGTTTATAGATTTTAGGTAGTTAAAATTCATGGATTTATTAACCACTAAACTGCGCAATGCACCTGCAGGCCCTAAACAGGGGGGGAGGGGGTGTGCAATGCACCTCCGGGATCTTATATTTTTAGTGTATGATCCAAAACTCCCACGGCTACACTGGGTTCACATCAGCTTCCTCAGGGCTTTTCTAAACAGACACCATTTAAAAAAAAAATCGTGGGCAATGTTCCTGGGTGTGAAAGCCTCAGTACTGAGTGAGCGACCAAGGCTGGCGCACGCAGCATTGGCTCACAGCACTGCTGTTCAGCTTGTGGCCACAGCATCGCCTAATACTGAGTAATGTCAAAATATATACAGTGAAACCTCGAATAACTAATTTAATCTGTTCCGGCACCGTGCTCGTCATGTGAAACGGATGTCATACAAAACGAATTTCCCCATTGTCAATAATGGAAATCAAATTAATTCGTTCTACCACCGAAAAACATCAATATGATATTCGATGTTTTAAATACTGGAGCAGCCTACCTTACATACACTGAACAAACCTTTATGACATTTTTCTGTCTTCAAATTTGTTCAATATTTTTTTTTTTCATTTTTGTTATAGTAAAAGATTCGTTTGGTGTTCGCGAGGTAGGTTGCTCCATGTTTCTTAAATAACAAAAAAATGAAAAATTTTGAAAACAGAACAAATGTCAAAAAGGTTCGTTCGGTGTTCGGCAGGTAGGCTGCTCCATGTTTCTTAAAAAAAACGAAAAATAAAAAAACAGTTGAAACAATTTGAAAAACGGATAAATGCCATAAAGGTTCGTTCAGTGTTTGTCGGGTAGGCTGCTCCATTATGACAATCTTTCTTTGTTTCAAATGTGTTCCATTTGTATTGTATTTTTCATTTATGTCTCAATAATGGGTGGACCCTTGGGGATCAGCTAAATTATCCTGCAGAGAAAAAAGATTTTCTTTTTAACTTGAAAACTTATTTTTTCATAGTTACAGTTAATGTCCTGAATCATTTGTCTTTAGTTTTAATGAAGTTTTTATTAGAAATTAATATTCTTGTGTAAGTTCTTTCTGATGCGTTAAAAATTACAGGTGACAAGTCAGATTGATGATATAGCAAAGGAATGTCTTAAGGAGCTTCGTGTCAATCACTCGGACCATCCAATGCTCTCGGCTGCACTAATTCTGCCCAGCCAAATCCTACAAGAATCCAAATGGTCACCAGAGAGGTGTAGACAACTCTTCAAGTGCATCAACCATGTGTTGTTTACTCAGGTAAGCACAATAATGGATTTAAATTGTGATACAGTACTAGACAGTGGACTTTCCATTTTCATATAACTGTATGTACATCAGTTCAAACCCAATTTGGAGTTGCATTACATCCTGATGTCCATTTTTGCCTATTTACCAGTATAACAAAATTTGTCCAAATTCTTCATTTTAACTTAATAATTAAAACAAAATATAATTTTTTTTATAACTATACATAACAGGCACCAAGTTTATCTTTTAAAGTTGCACATATCTATGAATGTATTTTTTTTTTTATAAATGTATTCAAAGTAGCACTAATGGTATCAACGACACTCAATGGTTTAACACAGGTGGTACGCGAACAAGGTGGAACACAGGTGGAAACTGAGTACCCAAATGAGCCACAGGGATGTTAGAAAGACCTTTTCATTGTCAGAGTAGTTAACAGATGGAATGCATTAGGCAGTGATGTGGTGTAGGCTGACTACGTACACAGTTTCAAATGTAGATATGATAGAGCCCAGTAGGCTCATGAATCTGTACACCAGTTGATTGACAGTTCAGAAGCAGGACCAAAGAGCCAGAGCTCAATCAGCCACAAGCACAACTAGGCGAGTACTCAACATCCTCCCTCCCGGACACCTCGGGGCCCAAATGCGATTAGATATGCGATAAGTAGTCAAATTCCCCCTTTCCCCCCTCCCCCAACACGAAAAATAATAACTATGTACAAAAGTATGTAACAATACATTGTTGTTTCACTAAATACTTTAAACCAAATGCCATAGAATACTGGTAATACAGCAACAATAAATATAGATACCCACTAAGTGTCCACATGTTTCTCTCCATATAATAATAATAATTCATAATTATGATCTTGGAATAATGTGTGAATATGGTGGTGTTAACTTAGGGTTGAGGTGAGGGTTGAGTTTTTGTTTGGTTAGGTTAGGTTATGTTTAGTTAGCTTTGGTTATCTTGAGATGATTTCGGGGTTTAGCGTCTCCGTGGCCCGGTCCTCAACCAGGCCTCCTTTTTGTTACACACCCTCAGGAAGTAGCCTGTAGCAGGTGTCTAATTCCCAGGTACCTATTTACTGCTAGGTGAACAGGGGCATCAGGGTGAAAGAAACTGACCATTTTATTTCTACCATCACCGGGGATCGAACCCGGAACCTCAGGACTACAAATCCGAAGCACTGTCCACTCAGCTGTCAGGCCCTGTGCATGGTTAGGTTAGGTTAAGTTTGGTTTAGTTAGCTTTGGTTTTGTTAGCTTGGCTAGATTTGGTTAGGTTAGGTCAGGTTTGCTTTGGTTAGCTTTCTTTTGGTTAGGTTTAGGTAGCTTTGGTTAGGATTGGTTTGGCTAGGTTTGGTTGGTTTTGGGTAGCTTTGATTAGGTTAGCTTTGGTTAGGTATAGTTGGGTTTAGCTAGGTTAACACTATCGCGCCCCAAGCGTGCGCTCTGCGCATATGCATGAAGTAGCCCATGATAATTCTCGTGCTACGTTGCTCGTTTTGGTATCATTGTGTTCACAATAGAATTCCCTACAGGTGTATATGCATATAAGGTCCAACAGCCAAGCCTGACTCCCCACAGCAAAACCTAATGTCAGCAAAAGTTATCCATGAGCGCACAAAATCAGTAAAATGTCCATAATCGTTTCAGTTTTCTCACTTTAATTCTCATGCTACGTCGTTCATTTTGGTATCAATGTGTTCGCAAATAAATTCCCTGCAGGTGTATGTGCATATATTGTCCAAAAGCCCAGCGTGACTCCCCTTAGCAAAGCCTAAATTTACCCGTGAACGAGAACCAATTATCACACCCGCAACCTAATGTGTATACTCGTTCAGTTTGATAACATCAATTTTCGTGTTACGTCGCTTGTTTTGGTATCAAATTGTTTGCAATATAAAGGTGCGTATTTTAAAACTAGTCCCATAATAATAAAGCAATAACTGGAATTTGAACAAATATTTTAATTTTGGATGCTCATCATCACAAAATTATTTATATCTTTCCAGTGTTGTGACATAAATTTTTGCGTTACATCTTTCATTTTTGGTATCAAATTGTTCGCAATGTAAAGGCGCGCATTTTAAAACTAATCCCATAATGCTAGCACATTAAATAGAATTTTAACAAATATTTTAAAATTTTGACCAAAAACGTATTTATAATCTTTCAAGGTTCTAACATCAAGTTTCGTGTTACATCTTTCATTTTGGTATCAAATTGTGCTCAATCTAAATGCGCTTATTTTGAAACTATCCCGAAGTCGATCGGATAAAAAATGAATTTTACACAAATATTTTTGTATTTGACGCAAGCGCTGTCCAGGGCTAGGACTCGAGAAAAAAGTGGACGTGAGCGATGTCTAAAGCGAGTGATAGTGTTAACATATGCCAGTTCAAACTTATTTCATTGGCATTATAAATTTGCTCAGGAGAAAGTGAATCACAATCTCAAATTTGGACACATTCCTCTGCACGTCTATCCACCACACAGGAGACATCCCAGATTCATCTTCCTTTATAAACTGAATGCTTTGATAATAGATCATAGCAATATGTTTTCTCTTAACTTCACTGCTTGTTGAAGTCTTTAACAACATATTTCTTGCATTTCCAGATGCACTAGTAGTAGGATGCAAAAAATATGCAGAGATATAAAACAGTGAGAGAGAGAGAGAGGGAGGGTTTTGTCCGCTGCAGGTAAACACAAACAAACAGCGGCGCCATCGGCAACTTTGTGGCCGGCCATAGAACTACATAGGCCTCTCCGGGGCTGGATCTCAAACGAATGATCGAGGTCTGATAGCAAGGTTGGGGAGTGTACTATTCATATCCTCAGAGCAATATTATCCCATCATATCCTAATTTTTCCCACAGTGGGCAATTTTATTGAACAAAGTTTTAACTTCAATATAATGGATATCTACCAGGAAAAAAAAGTTTGTAGGGAGATTCACCTTGTCTAGATTATGTATCATGCCCAATGCTCTGAACAATGTTTTACAAAGGTAGCCCAGTCCATACCAAAGTGAACCAAAAACTATACCAACTCCAAATAAAAAGAAACTCAAATTTTTTTTATTATTTTATATTCTTGATGGGTTTCCAATACCAGCTATCTTTCCTAATGTTGCACCTATCTACTGAAATGTTTTAAAAATACAATCTGAGCAATATTACAGCATTGCCATTCATTACCTGATTTGGCCATGCTCTTTGGGCAAATTTTATTGAATAAAATTCTTATTTCCACCTGTCAACCAGGCAGGTATTTCCCACTCCGTCCCTAAACCTTGTTTTTGTTGGTCACTTCCTAAAACCCATTGTGCCCATCTTAGTCACTTTGTAATTTTCTGGCATTCCTGCCTCCCTTCCATCATTTGTTTCGCTTCATTTAGGGTCCCTCTTAAGGAGTGATTCTTTCCCTTATACTTACCAATTCTTCTAATCACAAACATTATTTTTGGTTGCAAGGCATTTCTCTTATTCCACTCATTGCCTCATTCAGTAATGAAGTCAAATTTAATTACCTTTTGTCAGAAGTACATAGCATAAGCTTTTTTCTCTTTTTTCCGTAGATGAAAATGACTGGAAACAGTGAAGATTATTACAACCTCAAAAACTCTCTCATAAATGAAGTACTTAGTACAAAAAAAGGAATTCCTATCACCATGTGCATAATATACATGGCTGTATGTCATCGACTGGGCCTGCATTTGGAGCCTGTTAACTATCCTTCTCATTTTGTCATCAGATGGAAAATACCAGGGTAAGTGTCATTCTGGACAGGTGTGTAAGAATATATCTTATTCAAATGTTTTCTTTAAATTCTTTTAAGGTTGCTTTGTCTGTAAAACCAGATTTATGGCAAATTTGTGGATAATGTAAGGCAGTCATACTACTGTTAGTTGGGTTGTTTGTACCTGCAGTTTAGCTTGCAGGATGTCATAAAGATGACTTTCATTATAAATTTATACAATAGTGGCAGGGAGATACTTTTATGTATGAATTTGCTATCTGTATTGTAAACACTTGTGTACAACAGTTTAGCAAGAGGTCCAAATGAATTAAATAAAGTTTCACGTTGTAAATATTCTTAAGAGAGTAGACATTAGGTTGTGAATTGTCTAGTGGGTCATAACTCTGTGGAGCCTCGTCAACAATCTCTTCCTTTAGAGTTTGAGCATGTGGCTGGAGTGGAGAAAATTTGTATTACTGTATGTCCAATCACAGATTCCTCACAGTCTTTCTGAATCATCAAACGAATGAGGTACTTGATTCTGATGCTGATCTAAAATAATGGTTACCTGGGATGAGATCTAGCTCTTTGGCCCCATCTTCTAGCTACCTGAGCTGGTGCATTGAAGCTCATTGTTGTATTTGATCTTGACACTGTGACTGGAAGTGCCTTCCACTACTATCTGTTCTTAGAGTTCTTCTGAGCTTGCACTTATTGCCAAGACTTATTTTTACAATTTGATTTTCACTTTTTCTTCAGTCAACTCATTTACTGTTGCTGGAATCACTATTGTAGACAAAATGAAATAGGAAGGTAAATCTTAATTTTTACCCACGAGCCAGTTGTGGCTACATTTCTAGGTGGCAGGGAATAAATTTTGTATTTTTATATATTTATTTATTTATTTATTTATTTATTTATTTATTTATTTATTTATTTATATATTTATATATTATATATATATATATATATATATATACAAGAGTTCTTACATTCTTGTACAGCCACTAGCACGCATAGCATTTTGGGCAAATCCTTAATCCTATGTTTCCCAGGATACGACCCCACCAAATCCTTTAACAACCAGGTACCTGTTTTACTGTTGGATTAAACATAGGCTACAGTTAAAGATTTGTGCCCAGTAAATCCTCCCCAGCCAGGATACAAAGCCATGACAAAACGCTCGCGAAATGCCAGGCGAGCATCTTATCACTAAGTCAAGGGGATTTATATTATTGAAACTAACCAAGTTAAAAAGAAATCTTGTGTTTTGATTAGTTAAGGTGTATGCTGTAGATTGGTAACCGAATGTGGCAAGTGCTCACTCGCCACACTGCCCACCATCTGATGTGACCATCACAGGTGGAGGCTGGGGAAGGATTAATAGTTTTCCCAAGATTTCTTTACATGTTCCACAAATGCTTAAATAAAAAAGCAAACAGAAGGGGACACAAATAAAACATTAATGTATCAAGATAAAAGAGTTTCATGGTGGGTGAAAGTGATCAGTGGACAAGGTGTGGTATGACTGAGGAAGTAAGATCAGGTTAAGAGACTACCTCAGTACACTCCCACCCCTACAACCTCCTCTTTTGCACCACCTTCCCACACTGAAAGTAGTAGATGTAGACACCACCTCTATCCACAATTTATGGCCAGATTCAATAAGGAATTTGAATGTCGGAACAGTTCAATTGTGATGCAACAGGTACAGCACACTAATAGGTAGGGTATAAAGAACTAGCTAGACCTCTCCCTTGTAGACACTGATAGGTAAGTACTGATAGATATTACCTCCATATCATTTCCTCCTCCTCACCCACCACCTCTCTTCCTGCTCTTTACTTCCTGCTCCTCTCTTCCTCCTCATCCTTCTCCTTCCTTTCTCCTCCTGCTCCTTTCATTTTCCTCCTCCTTCCTCCTCCACCACAATCCTCAAGGTGGATAGGGATAGTTTATTTTAATTGAAATGTAGACAAAACTGTATAAATGAAAGCTGGAAATACAAACGTGTCAAAGAAATATTGGCTGTTGAGTTAAGGGGCGAGGTTGAGGCTCATGTGCGCCACACAGCCAGCATGAGTGTTAGTCCGTTAAAACAACAGAATAGTGTTAGTCAAAACACTAGAAAAAAATAGTTAAAGACAAATGGGTTGAACACCTAGAAAGTAATGACATAATGACAGACAGAGAGTATGGTTTTCGAACAGGAAGATCCTGTGTAACAACTCTTTGTTTTTATGATAGAGCCACAGAGATACTACAGGAAAGAGATGGTTGGTTGACTGTGTTTGTCTGGTTGGTTGACTGCGTTTGTCTAGACCTAAAAAAGGCTTTTGAGAGAGTCCCACACAAGAGGGTGTTCTGGAAACTGGAATATGCTGGAGGGGTGATAGGGAGACTTCTGACATGGAGGTTATCTTGAGATGATTTTGGGGCTTAGTGTCCCCGCGGCCTGGTCCTTGACCAGGCCTCCTTTTTGCACCACCCCCCCAGGAAGCAGCCCTAACAGCTGTCTAACGCCCAGGTACCTATATATTGCTAGGTAACAGGGGCATCGGGGTGAATGAAACTCTACCCATTTGTGTCCACCTCCACCGAGGATTGAACCCGGAACCTCAGGACTACGACTCTGAAGCACTGTCCACTCAGCTGTCAGGCCCCCTGATGCTTAAAGGAAAATGATATTTTAACCCTTAAACTGTGCATGGCGTATATATACGCCATGAGTAACATGTCCCACGGTGCGCATGGCGTATATATACGCCATAGGGTGCCAGGCACGATTGAAATGGCCCGCGGCTACACGGGGTTCACATTAGCTTCCTCAGGGCTCTTGTCAACAGACGCCATTTAAAAAATAAAATCGTGGGTAATATTCTCAGGTGTGAGAGCCACAGTACTGTTGGAGCAACCAAGGCTGGCGCACGCAGGATGAACGAACAGCATTGCTGTTCAGCTTGTGACCACAGCATCGCCGAAAAATGTCAAAATAAATATATAATTGCTTTTACTGTATTTAGTGATGACAATATTACAGATGACCCCTGACTGTGATAAAAATAACCAGGGTTGTGATAATAGCAGGATTGTTGTAATAATTAGCGCTGTGGGAGGAGTGATGCTGAGGGACGGAGGGAGATTGCATCGTTTGCTGATTGTGTGGCCCACTTGTTATTGTCTGCATTCACCATACCAGCTCAGTGGTTTTCTATGGTGAACACAAATGTAGATACTTATATATAATGTTATTTGCTGTAATAACAGCAAAAGGATTATGCTGGGAGGAGCCATTTGGGTGACAGAGGTGGCGTCGTCTGTATGATTTGTCTGGCTGTGTAGAGCAGGGGTCTCTAAACTATGGCCCGCGGGCCACATCCGGCCCGCCACATAATTTCATCCGGCCCTCCAAACAAATCCCTGTGTGGTGGCCTTGAAAAAATAATTATCGTACGAATGGCATCGCAGAATTATTCAAAGCTGGGGCTGCTGACTGGTGGCACTCAACCCGAGTCAGTTTTCCTCTCTCTCGATAGTGTGACGCACAGATACTAATACTGGTAGGTATGTGTTGTGCATTACAACCAATCAGTTGTGTATAACTGTATATTGTGGGGATGGAGGGCGAGTGGGGCTTCGCTGCTTCCGTTTCAGGGAGCACAAACACTGTACAATATTCTTTTCTCTGTACTTTGACAATGCCTTTATCTTAGTTATACAAAATAGCAATTTCATTTTTTATTCCTCCGGCCCGCATAAATATGGGAAATATATAATGTGGCCCTTACATTGAAAAGTTTGGAGACCCCTGGTGTAGAGGGTGGCCACTGTGCTCTTTGGGCACTCTACAAGCTTAGGTGTACAGTTACAGTGCATACAACATGTAGATACTGTACTTATATATAATGTTTGTGTGTATAGTGTAATAACACTGCAAACAGTATTATTGGGGGAAAAAGTTTAGTGCGTGTGACCTTGAATGAGTGAGGGAGCCGCCAGCTGACTGTGTGTAGCGACGATTCTTTAGTGCCAGAACTAACTATATCAGCTTAGTTGTACAGTTGTGGTGAAAAAACATATAGATTCTTATATATAATGTCTGTATATTGTGAATAAAATATAAAACAGGATGGTGGGGGGAGAAAGTGGGCGAGTGAGGCGTTGTTGAGGGAGTGGCAACGAGTGGCCGGCTGGTGTGTGGTGGTCACTCCTTGTTGACTCATAATACCAACTTAGTGGTTCGTTATTGTGAACAAACCATGCAGATACAGTACTTATATATAACGTGTGTATAGAGTGTAATAGCAGCAAAACTATTTGTTTATTGTTTTATGAACATAATAATTGAATCACTAATATGCACACCATACTTTTGAGTATAGCAATTATTCACCACTTTTATTATATAAATATATTACAATACACACTATTGAATAATATTACTGCAAAAAAGCTAAGAAAAAATCAGAGACATTGAAATAATTAGGTGATAATATCTTTGTGGCAACTCCCACCTGTCAGTTCAAGTGACGCTGACCGGCTCTGACGACCGCTCTGTCAACGCCTACTTTTTGCCAGACTTCCTCAGTCTATTGCGCCCAAAATATGTCACCTACGATTTTTTTTTATATTTCCCGTGCTCAAGGAACACATATTAACATTTTTAGAAGACGAAATAATTTTTTAGATTTTTTTTTCTTGCGCACAGGGGTGTAAATGTCCTCAAGACCCCCTTAGCAGTGGAAAGGTTAAACAGCAGTTGAAACAATAAGGATCTAGCAGGTCTCATTTCCAGTTTGGTTGATTTGACTTGTTGTGTGCACATGAAACAAATTATTTAATTTTGTATTATTGCCACATCACCTTTCTATAGTTGATGCATTTTTGTATTTAATCTCATTTTGTGATATTTAAATAAAGTAATTATGAGGAGAAAGTGCTAAGCCAGATATATATAGCCGAGAAGAAATATGAGGACAAGAAGCTGGAATACAATGGAGGGAAGTTGATATTTACTTTTTAAGTGTTTACAATTTGTATGATGAATTGTTATTTTCCTACAAAATTAATATTTCATCTCTTTGCTGTTTCACAGAACATATGAGTATGAATATATAGATGCATTCAATAAGGGCCAACGCCCTATTGCTAAAGTGCTTCGGGGAGAGATGCCAGAAGGTGTTGGACTAGATCAGATGCCCCTGACATCATGTGGGCCAATGCAAGTATTTCATCGGATGATCAGAAACATTATGAGTGTTGCCCAGATGCAAGGTCATATCTTTGAACATATTGAACTTTTTTGTCCTGCTACAGAGCTGATGAGTCTACTGATCCCTGCTGATCGTAGTGTCCAAGGATTATTACTAAGGTACGTTTTGATAATAGTTGTACAATGTATGTCTTTAGGAGTTCATAGATTTTTTGTGTGGGGAGCCATTACGGTTCCCCGAGCTTACCAAGCTGATGTGTACAGTATGTATTAGACCATGGCATCAGTCGATTGGAGTTCTTACCTACCGGGAATCATGAGCCAGAACCTGACCCCCCTCAGAGAGGTACATGAAGCAAGGGCCTATGGAAACCCCCCCATGTATTTGGAAGCATTCCATGTCTGCCATCGACTGGGGTTTGGCACCCAGAAAGGTAGGCATAACAAAACAAACCCCACATGGTACAAAAAATTTTTTTATTGCTACTGAAAACCGAACAGAAAGGAAGGGAAGGGGGCTGGACGGCAATTGCCCACCCTTGGGGACTGTTGGGGTGTTCATCGCCATTGTTTGACTTTGGCTAAGAGGTGGTGTCATTGCTGGTAGGTACTGTGCAGCTTATCTCCCATTATACACAGCGACCAGTTCTGTTCCTTCTAGGGACGTTGTGCTTTGGCAGGGTTTTCTTTTTCTTTTTGTTTCTTTTGCCTGGTGGGGATTTGCCCCCTTGGTTCTGATCTACCTTCTGTTGTATCAGTGTTCCTCTGCTAGGCCCCCGTGATTGCACACATCACAGGGGTTCAATTTTTAGCAGTTCTCTTGGTAGTTTGAGCCTAACCGGTTAGCAGTAGCAGTAACTCAAAATTATCGTAAGTAGGGGCAATCGTATGTCGAGGTGCCACTGTATTTAAAACCAAATTCTATGGTATATTTTCATTTTGAGTTCACAAGGTTTTTGTTCACTCAGGTATAGCACGGCTTCCTTTTGAAAATGAGTTTGAGGCTGGGGACCATAAGGAATAAGATAGATGTGGTTAAAAATTTTTGCAGACCTGTTCATTTGTTAGTTGTCTATTCAACCTGTCCTCCTAAAAATAATGTCGCTTTTGGCCATTTACCAGTATGGCCGAAAGTGGACGTAATTTGAAAATGAAAAAAAAAATGAAAATAAATTTTGGATTTTTTTTTTTTCAACAACAGTAAGTTATGGATCCTCTGGTAGGTTAGGTGGGCAGGAAATTCTCATAAAGTTTCAAAACGTTATGAAAAACGTTAATTGAAAGTTTTCGCTCCTAACCTTACCGAGTAAGCCGGACGACTCAAACATAAAACGGGACAGTACGTCACTTTTGTGAGTCGATTTCATTTCAAATTACTTCCAAATTTGGCCATAGCGCGCATACGGGCGAAAAGTGACGTTATTTTTAGGAGGACGGGTTGGTCTATTATGTTATGGGTTGAAATTAAAATTTTGCCAAGTGAAATTAGCTCATAGGAAGTGGAAAATGCATTCTGGAAGCATCTCTGGTTGCAATGCATTGGATTTGGTTCCATACATTTAGTTGAATTGAGGTTGTTCTGTACACTAATTTTTTGACTGAATGTAACTTGGGTTCACTTATTTCATACTCCATTTTGTTTTACTGAATGATAGGTATTGCCAGATACTAGAATATTTGGAAACAAAAGCATACTCTTTACAATTATTGAATTATATTGTAAAACATTATAATCATTCCTATATGCTGATACCATTGAATAATATGTTAAGAAATGTTTGTAAATTAAATTAGAGAAAATACATGATTTGCAAGGACAATTCACTTGCTCAGATGTAAACATTGATTGAACTGGTCTTATTTGATTTGATTATCAAATGTCATTATAAATGCTTCCTGTTGTTATTATTATTATTATTATTATTATTATTAAATAGAAATTTTATGGTGAATTTAAACAAAGCCTTAAAGAAAGAAGGGAAGCAACATGTGATGATTCTTGTGCATGGAATTGTATTGATCCCAGTTCCTGCACTATTCATTGTTTTGGGAGAAGCTGGAATTGTTTTTGTGAGAGTTGTAAGAGTGCTGAATTATAAAATGTTGACGTGAGTATCAACAAAGTCTTATCTTTGGATAGCAGCTGATTTTATGTAATAATCAAATACAGTATTGAATTGCAAAGTATATAAACAAAATTTTTCTGTGGGGAGCCCTGTCGGCTCCCAGAACCTAACCGAACTGATACTTGCTATATTAGTTTGGAGTCATTAGTCACAGGAGTCCTTATGCCTACTGGGAACCACGAGTCAGAACCTGGTCCCCTCTGAGAAGCACAGGGAGCAATGGCCTACAAGCACTTTACATTTAAAATGTCATAATTATCATCAACCAGGGAAGCACCCAGAAAGATAGGCAAAACAAAACAGACCTCAATCTGGTGAAAATTGCGACCTACTGTACGTCCGAAAAGGGCAAAAGAACTCTCCCAGGAAGAAAAAGCAGCACTTCATCCGACTAGCACTCCCGCTCGTTAGTGCACCCCAACCAAGGAGGGAGGGGGAGCCGGCTCAGCCCAGCATGCCAGTTCTTGATCGAATATGCTGGGGTCAGCTTGGTTTCTTCTGGCCTCAATTTCCTGTTCTGGATTTTTCCCTGTGTAGCTGTACCAGCAGTGTGTGTGTACTCACCTAGTTGTGCTTGCGGGGGTTGAGCTCTGGCTCTTTGGTCCTGCCTCTCAACTGTCAATCAACAGGTGTACAGGTTCCTGAGCCTATTGGGCTCTATCATATCTACACTTGAAACTGTGTATGGAGTCAGCCTCCACCACATCACTTCCTAATGCATTCCATTTGTCAACCACTCTGACACTAAAAAAGTTCTTTCTAATATCTCTGTGGCTCATTTGGGCACTCAGTTTCCACCCGTGTCCCCTAGTGCGTGTGCCCCTTATGTTAAACAGCCTGTCTTTATCAACCCTGTCGATTCCCTTGAGGATCTTGATTGTGGTGATCATGTCCCCCCTAACTCTTCTGTCTTCCAACGAAGTGAGGTTTAATTCCCGTAGTCTCTCCTCGTAGCTCATACCTCTCAGCTCGGGTACTAGTCTGGTGGCATACCTTTGAACCTTTTCCATTTTAGTCTTATGCTTGACTAGATATGGACTCCATGCTGGTGCCACATACTCCAGGATTGGTCTGACATATGTGGTATATAACATTCTGAAAGATTCCTTACACTAGTTTTTAAAGGCCGTTCTTATGTTAGCCAACCTGGCATATGCTGCTGCTGTTATCCTCTTGATATGAGCTTCAGGGGACAGGTCTGGCGTGATATCAACCCCCAGGTTCTCTCTCTCGGACTCTTGAAGTATTTCATCTCCCAAGTGATACCTTGTATCTGGTCTCCTGCTTCCTACCCCTATCTTCATTACATTACATTTGCTTGGATTAAACTCTAACAGCCATTTGTTCGACCATTCCTGCAGCTTGTCCAGGTCTTCTTGAAGCCTCAAGCTGTCCTCTGTCTTAATCCTTCTCATAATTTTGGCGTCGTTTGGCGTGTGGTATGGTGGCCAGGTGTCTTGTACGCGGAGCAGCATGTGCCTAGGGTGATCTTCCCTAGGTGCTCCATAAATACTACCCTTGCGTTTCAAGGTTAACTTCCGTGGGGCGTTCGGGACTCGCTCCCATTTGAGGACTTTGTCGCTTGGCATTGTTTTCGCCCTTGGGGTACGTTGGGGGGCTCGGGCTTTCCGTCTTGCCCCGCATGGGGAGTGTTATTGATGAGTGGGGCACACTGTAGCTGGTGCAACTTGCACATGCAGCAGCTGACAATGCTGTCTGGCTGCCAGTTTGTTTTTTGTGTCTTCGGGGGTTTTCTTTTTCTTTTCAAGCATTTTTGCTTTTTGTTAACGGAAGTGGTCTGCCTAGCTTATTATTAGGCAAACCTTGGTTGTTTTGGTGTTCCTGCTCTGTTGCCCCCGAGGTTTCACGGCTCCTGCTTGTGGTCGGTTTGCCTGCTGACTGACAGGATACAACCGGCTTAGCTACCCCCAGTGCCTGTGCTTTCCATAGGGCTTACTCACCCTATGGGCCCTGGAAAACCCCAGTGATGGGGAGGGGGGGTTCATGGATGTGTGTTCAGTCTTTTCTTACCTTGTGCAAAGTTGAAGGTTGTTCGTTGCCCCTGCCTCAGGGAGACAATCATTCTTACTGCCTCCATCATGCTGCCTGTTGGGTCAGTGACACCTATGACCTGGAGTCTTGCGGGACTTGTTCCCAGCTTGTGCTTCTATTTACCCATTCCTCGTCTGATCCTTTCATGGATCAGGCAGTGGCTGCATTGCATGCTTGATTTTCCTTGTTGCAATGGGCCAGGTTGGTGGCCTGGTTGGAGGCCCCGGAGGCTTATTCAGATTCGTCCTTCCAGAATTCTCCTTCCTCTTGGATTTTTCCTGGGGAGGTTCAAGAGGCCCTTGGTGCGTACCTCCTGCGAGACCTGGTTTACGCCTCTGTGATGGATCCAGCTTTATTTGAGTTCAGTTCTTCTTTCCCATATTGGGTGCATTATGAGGTTCCAGAGTCAACTTGACTGGCAGACTGCTCCTTTTTCTCTATTGGTGCGGCTTTTGTTGTACCCGCTCGCTTGAGTGACAAGAGGTCTCTCTCTTATGTTGCAGGTATATTTTTTTGGGGAAGGGGCTTGCTTGAGTTCCTCAATGAGTGCCTCTTCACCCCTCCACTTTTTCGTGATGTGGGTCTGGTTCAGTTGCATGTTCAGGTCCCCACTCTTTCAGCTACTTTGTTGGCTGATAACCTTCAGACTCGGGTCATTTGATTTCGGTCTTTTGCTTCTTCGGTCTTCTGGAGCTGTCTTCAGATTGGCTTTCGGAGGATGTGGGGGCATCGAGTGAGGGACCTTTGGATGGGGTTCTGGTTTTGGCTGCTGCAGTGGCATCGTCTGCCCTGCTGAAGTTTTTTGCGCTGATCCGATCGGTTTCTATGTTTTTCACCTCTCGTCTTGCATGTTGGCAGGCTGTCCTTGCTCTCTCTCTTTGGATTCGGCTTGAGCCCCTGGCTCTGCAGTCTTCTTCACCATTCTGTCCTTTGTTGTTCCCCGAGGACGGAGTTGCCCCATTTTTGTCAGTGGGTTAAGCAAGTTGCTGTCTTTCCATATCAGACTTGTTGTACTCCGGGGGGAGGGAGGGTCATTCCAGGCCCTCTCATTTGGGTCGTGCCAGGGCTCTGGTGTCTTTTGGTCAGGGTACGCCTTTGGTGCCAGTTTCTTCGTCAGTGTGTTCCCCAGGGCCTTCTTCATCTGGTCAGCGCAGTGCTTGCTCTGTGCTGCGATTGGCTTCTTGGGGTCAGCGTCGGCTCTTTTGCAGGTTGCCCTGTTGGCGGGGTAATGGAAGGGAGGCTGGTTCTTTTTGCCTGTGCTTGGTCCCACGACTCATGAGCTTTTCGGGTCGTCTCTTCTAGCCTTTGGGGACGTTGGGCGGACCTTTTTCCTGTCAGGAGTGTCGGGTCTCGTGGGTCAGGCTTCTTCCCTGTCCCTCTGTTGGGTCGTCTTGGAGTAGCTTTGCTTGGGAGTGGTTGAAGCAACCTCGTCTCTCACGTGAGTTTTCTGCCCGTTTCCAATTCTGAAATGGGCCCGTGCGGATCGTGGGTTTTTCTGGACTTGTCTCGTCTGAACTAGTTGATTCCTTGCCCCTCCTTTCGGATGACCACGTTGTCCCAGGTTTGGCTTCTTCTCGAGCTGGGCACTGGGATGATTTCCCCTGGACCTTGCACAATTGGACAATTGGACAATTGCACAATCCAGGACAACATGGATTTAGAGCGGGAAGATCCTGTCTGTCACAGTTACTCAACCACTATGACAAAATCACAGAAGCCCTAGAAGAAAAGCAAAATGCAGATGTTGTATACACAGACTTTGCAAAGGCGTTCGACAAATGTGACCATGGGGTGATAGCTCACAAAATGAGGTCAATGGGAATAACTGGAAAAGTAGGATGCTGGATACTCAATTCCCTGTCGAACAGAACACAAAGAGTAACAGTCAATCAGATAAAATCGAGTCCAAGCGATGCTAAAAGCTCTGTACCTCAAGGTACAGTCCTTGCACCGCTACTGTTCCTTATTCTCATATCTGATATAGACAAAAATACACGTCACAGCTTCGTGTCGTCCTTTGCAGATGACACAAAAATCAGCATGAAAATTACCTCTGCTGAAGACATTGAAAAACTACAAGCAGATGTCAACAAAGTTTTTGATTGGGCAGCAGAAAATAACATGATGTTTAACAGTGATAAATTTCAGGTACTCAGGTACGGCAAAAATGAGGATCTGAAACATAATACAGGGTACAAAACACAATCGAATTTTCCCATAGTAGAAAAACAGCATGTCAAGGATTTGGGAATAATGATGTCTGACGATCTAACGTTTAGGGAGCATAACCAAGCAAATATCGCGTCAGCTAGAAAAATGATCAGATGGATTACGAGAACTTTCAAGTCCAGGGATCCCATCACAATGGATGTACTCTTAGTTACTTGTGTTGTCCCGTCTCGAGTACTGCTCAGTACTCACTTCCCTCTTCAGAGCAGGAGAGATTGCTGAAATAAAGGGAATACAGAGAACATATACGGCACGCATAGATGAGATAAAACACCTAAATTATTGGGATCATCTCAAAGCTCTCCACAAGTAAACTCTCTAGAAAGGAGACGAGAGAGATACCAAATAATATACACATGGAAAATACTGGAGGGCCAGGTAGTTAGCTTCAGGAAGCCGACAGGGCTCCCCACAGAAAAACCAGCGTTGAATGTAATTAAACGCTATTCTCTGGGCGAGCCCAGGAGGCACTTGACACCCTCCCTCCCTCTAGTTGGTGGTCTTCTTTCATCATTCAAGAACTAGAGTGGTGCGCTGCTGACTCCCTCTTTCCCTTTTGGTGGGGGGGGGGGGGGGAGAACTAATGAGCAGGAGTGCTAGTTGGATGAAGTGTTGCTTGTTTGTTTTCTTCCTGAGGGAGTTCTTTTGCTCTTTTCAGACGTAGGTCGCAATTTTCACCAGATTGTGGTCTGTTTTGTTTTACCTATGTTTCTGAATGCTTCCCTGGTTGATGCCAATTATGACATACTTTAAATGTAAAGTGTTCGTAGACCATTGCTCCCTGCGCCTCTCTGAGGGGTCCAGGTTCTGACTCGTGGTTCCCAGTATGCATAAAGACTCCTGTGACTGATGACCCCAAACTAATACAGCGTATGTCAGTTCATTTAGCTTCTGGGAGCCTCCGGGGCTTGCCCAGAAAATGGTGTTTCATTACATTCAATGCTGGTTTTATTTGCTTATAGGATATACTACTCATTAGAGGTTCACTATGATCGCATTGTGACTGGGTGTCGACGTCTGCTGGCTCAAGATGCCTCTCCAATATATGAAGAAATGTTGTCAGAATGTGAGCAGATATTGAAAAATCAGAGTGTAGCACCAAAACCCATTGAGCCAAATTTTAGAAGCAAAGAAATTGCTTATGCCACAGGACTAGTGATGCAGCACAAGCGTTATAACTATACTTGTGTAATATTTGGATGGGATAAGGTGAGTGGAATTCTCTCTCTAATGACCCTTTTTGTAGAAAATATTTGAATGTGCACTTACTGTAAGTGTTCAAGTAAAATTTTCTTAATTCATGTCCCATATTTTTTTTAAATTTAGTTATTATGACATTGAAATAGTCATTATTTAATGATGAAACATTTTTTATGAGTGACAACTCTTATAGGAGTGCAAGATGCCACCTGAGTGGGTCCATCGGATGGGTGTGCATAATCTTCAATACAAGACCAAGCAGCCCTTCTATAATGTTCTTGTCTATGACGGCTCACACAGGTACGCTTCTGAAATTATGTACTTTGTGCTCAACGTCTGTCATAACTACTGTAATTATGAATGCTCAGCAATATATTTTCCACTTGGGTTGAAGTACAGTTCCACAATATATGATTATGACAAAATATATGTATTGCCATGATATTCCCCAGGTATGCAGCTCAGGAGAATTTAGAAGTGGCACTACAACCAACACCTGTTACTCATGCAGATGTTGGTAAGTATTTTAAGGTGTTTACAGGCACGCACTACATACCTAATGCTGAACTGTTAAAGGAATATCCAGAAGATGAGGCTGTGAGAAATGTGATCTTGAGAGCGAGAGGACTCTTGTAGCATCTCTTCAGTACAAAATAGTAGAATACAGCATACCAATGCTATAATTTTATACAATTTTACTGTGAGAGATTAGTTATGCATTGTATTATAAACTGTAGCCACAGTGTACTTGAACTAAGACTTAGCTGTATTTAGCATAATCTTGTTGAGGTGTAAACATCTTGTATAAATGGTTTATACAAATACAGTACTGATAATTAATAAATGATGTAACCATAAATTTAACATTGTGTAAATATAGTTTTGCATGAGAATGAAGTGCACTAATCAAGGGAAATAATAACCCAATATTTTGAAAACATGAGGAAATAGATATCAGTCTACATTTCCTCGTGTTTTCAAAATAGGGGGTTATTATTTTCATAGTTTTGCATATTGACATGCATTTTTGTCTTCGTCTCTGTCTGTCTTGGTTTGCGTGTCTCAATCCACAACACGACTAATTTGTGTTTTGAACTTATTTGTGTGTTACCTCATTTGCCTGCCCTTAACTGGAACAGACTTCCTATATCCACTTCTGTTTCCCTCTGCATCCTATATGTTGTTCATGTATTCCCTTGGGTTCTTCTCTTAGTGTTATTAGAAGAGTCCTCTTAAGCCTGTCCTCAGAGTTCAGTTCTTTTGTCTCTGGTGTTGGTATTGTAGCAGTTCTCCGGATTCTCAAGTTTTGTTCTTATCCTACACAAGGAGGGGGTTTCATGCTGATGTTGCAATTTCTAGGACTGGTCCAGCATTTGCTGTGTATAATACTCAAGACAATTCCTTAATCGGATGACTAAATACTCTCCTTATGTTTGGCATTAGTTTCTAGGAGTAATATCTAAATTATGAAATCAATGTGGGATAAGGAAAATCTTATCTAAAATATATTGGAATGTAATCACTTGTCTTTCAGTACCAAAGAAATTTGTTTACTAATAATTTTAGAATTTAAATGTTTGGAATTGAAATATTTCTTGTATAATCATGCAGAAGGTTCATTACGGGGTTCATCTTTTATGGTCAATCAGAAAGTCAATTTATGGTCAATTTTATGGTCGATTCATCATTCATTAAATGCTGCCAGAAAGTAAAAATTTAGAAGCATGAAATTATTAAGGCACATCGTAATATAGATGAGCACAAGGATAGTAAATGAGTGTAAAAATAGCAGCTGGAGGTAGTACTGTAGGCAGACATTGAAAAGTATAACTTGTGTATTACTTTTTCAACTGCCACCATTGCAATGGCATATCAACTCGTATACACATGAGATGTGCAATGAATAATCTCGCTATGAATGACAGCTGTACAGCAGTTATCATAATGAAAAAATGTTTGTCTGAGCAAGGGCACAGTTGTAAAATGTAATTAATTTTGATATACAGCTGTATTTCATTTTGAATGTACTTAGTTTGTACGCAAATTGTGCTCACAGATTTGTTACTACTAGAGGTTACAGGAGTACAGGCTTCCTGACTTTTTTTTTCACAACTAAGCACTCTTTCCCATAACTTAGTGAAGCCTAGCCCTATTAGTTTCCCAAAAACTTGATCCATTGATTGATTCACAACCAGGTGTTCAGTCACTGCTGGGTAAATAGGAGTACACATTGAAGAAACTATGCCCAATTGTTCCTCCCTGGCCATAGCTTGAACATAAGTCAGTCTCACTTGTGAGGAGGGTTGTGTTAAGGCACTAATCACGGCAGCAGAAGGTGCTTATATTGCATATAAGCCTGTGCCCAAATTAATGGATTTAGTAGCACAGCTATATATGAAGATTTGTAATAAACAAGAAAACTTATTGTAATAAGGAACTACAAGATGTCAAGTTTGGATCTTTGTGTGTTGGGGGGGAAGCTGTCTGTCTCCAGAACCTAGAGGTTAATGTGCTCTTGTTTACAGTACCAATATAACCATTTTTAAGCTGAGAAGTAAATTTCTAGTCTTGTTCTGTGAAGGTTAAGGGGACACACATTGTAGAAGTGATCTAGCCTGTCTTCAGTGGGAAAGAAAATAGAAACAAATCATCTGTGTCATGTAGGTAGACCAATAAATATTAGTTGCCGTCCACCTGTTGGTGCTACCCCACTTGTGCCTTCCAGTTTCAGTCAAAATTTCTTATCTATGCAGTTCTATCTTATCCTGCACTGCATTTTATTAATTGTATCATGCTTTTTCTTCCAGTTATTCTCATTTTGTCCTTCTAGCTTTTCCCACTAGAGACTTTCTCATGTGTATTATATGCTTCCTAAAGGAAATCCTTTTACATATTCTTGCTTAGCAGTGCAAATTTGTGGTTACCGCAGTGCAAGCAGTTGGCAACTTCTTCACTTACATGATAATTAGACAAATATGTTGAACACTGCCAAAAAAGAATGGAGAAGACTCAAAATAAGGCTCTAGAAAATGGTGTTTCTAGGGAGAACAAGGCATAATGAATGATAGCTTTGATACTATTCAGATGCTTGGAATGCAAAGGTACATTCTGTGGGTGAAGGCATTATGGGCAAAACTGTACAAACATATGTAAAGGGGTGTCTTCATTTTATAACATATATAAGGGTTTCTTGTTATTGAAATATCAATGATAAATAAGCCTTCAAATATTCCAGATGTTGTTATTTAAGTTTCAAATACCAGAAAATAAGTTTTGTGGAGGTTTCTCCAGTCTATGATATAAATAGGTATTGTTCTGTTTAACGTGGGAAAATAAAGAACTGGACCTTTGCCACTTGCATATGAATGTCATGTGATATTTTGTTTGTGTATTTCATGTCTTGGATGCCACTGATAAACCAGTAGACTATTACTGTGAAGTTGATGTCTTACATTATAAGAGAAGCAAGTTGCTACCCGGCTCATGGTTGGTGCATTCAGTGTAATAAAAACTGAGAAGTGTGTGGAGGTGGAGCAACTGGCCAACAGTTACAATTACTGTACTTAGCATCTGCCTTCATCACTTGGCCATTTGTTTCTTCAGAATTTTTGTTATTTTGCTGTTTGTACTTCAAAGTATTCTAAAATTTTACCTTTTTAAGACCATTTATTTAACATAAATTATAAGTGTGCTGAAATTGAGTAAATATTCAGAGAAAATTTAAACAAATAAGGACAGGAAATCTGTTTTATCAGTTACAGTAATAGTACCCCCACCCAGTTGCTTATAGTATTTTATTTATTATTAATATGTATGTATGGCCAAAGGTTGTCAAGTATGTTGCAAGTTTAGTATCAATAGTTTTACATATCAAGATGTGTTTGAAACAGTGTTAATGGTTTAATTAAAATGGCTCGATTTAAAAATTATGGACTAGTCCCTTTCTTTGTTAAAGATAGCTTAATTAATTGCCTCATGTTGGGTATTGGTTGAACTTCCCAGTAAGTTCATTGCATCTGTGATGAGTTCTCTCTCAGATTCTTTCAGTGAATAAGTTTAGTCAGTTAAAACTGACCATTCTGCAATGAATTAGATACAGTAATTACATAATGTTTCTGTGTAAGAGTGAAAGAGGTTGGCTGTCATGATGGCAATCATACTGATGTTTTATCAGTGTCTAGTCACCTTAGGTTAGAATAGGTATCAAGAGTAGGACATTTTCAAGTGAAAAAATGCTATACATTCTTTACAATGATTTGTTACCATACTTTTGTTATTGGAATGTGATTTATTGCCTGTATCCCAAGTTCATGTTTCAATAAGCTACCATAACTCATGTCATTGGTTCAGTGAATTAGCAGTTCTGCCTTTGTGATGCAGTCTTCTGAATAATAAGCATTTGGTAGTGTATTACTACTGTTTGAAATAACTTGCTTCCTGCAATATACAGGGTTTTCAACCTGTATCATTTTTACTGTCATAATGTTTGTTTATAAAAACATAATACAGTATATAATTTTGTCCAGAAACTGACCATGTGTGTATGTGTGTGTTTACTCTGTAACAATATAAATTCAACCTTGTACATTTTTAAGCTACTGTTTATGAAAATTTATATGTATATAAATATATATATACTGATTTTTCATTTTTTCCTTGTTAATAATGTTCTGTGGTACTTACATTTGTTCCCAACATGCTTACCGTACAGACATTTGATTCAATATACCATTAAGACAGACTTGCAGTATTTGGTATTGCATATTTGTTTTGAATATCCAGTGGCCAGGCATTCATCAGTGTGTCAATTTAACTCAAATTCTTACCTTAATGATGATATAAAGCAGGTAAATTATGTCATCCACATAATCTGCAAGTCAGTAGTTTTCTCCACTGTATGAACTTTATTATTTTAATTGTTGCAGCCAGTGAGGGCCAGTTTGTGCTCTCCATACTCATCATATTATTACACATGTAAGCTAAGGCATTTAGGCAATATGTTTACATACTTTTCAGCATTAGATATTACAAGGTAACAAAAGTATTGCTATTTATAGTGTGTCAGAGTTGGCTCTGATTGTACGTAGTAAGGGAAAATGTGGATACAGTGTAAGAATTGAAGGTATTATATTGTTAACAATAAAGTGATGTGCTATTCATACAACATTAGTTTAGATCTATCTCTAAATGGCTGTATTTTCACTATAAGATGCAATGTTCTAGTGAATGATTGTGTCTTGGTTCACACACTTTAGATTTTGTGTGATCTAGATCCCCACATAAAATGAACTGTTGGAGAATTTTGTTTGACATTTTAGGTAGGGGGGAGAATTGTGCACCGCCCATGGGTAAGTGGGGGGTGACTCTAGCTCCTCTCTCCAGCCTAATGTGGTGGTGCACAAGCAAATTGCCCTCCTTTGTGTTAGCCATGCATGGTGACTCGTACATTCCTGTTCCCTCATCTGGTAGTTTAGCCTACTAAGGGGTGTACTCCCTTGGGGGTAACATATTGCTTTGGTGGAGGGACTGGGGTAAAACAGGAAGTTCAGTGTGGCCCACGTGAATCAATTGTCTAGTTAGACATCGGGTCAGGTGGCCATTGTGGGGTTGTATCTCTGGGATACCATTTGGACCCTTCAATGGTGACCAATGTATACTGTTCCAGTTACCCCTGAGGTTGTACTCATACTTGTGCCTCCCCTTATTAGGCTCTGGTGGGTGCAGGGCAGCAAAGTCTAATTTCACTGTGCTTAATTCTGCCCAGATTTCTCCTCGGACTCGTGGGGTTTGTGACTAGGACCCAAAGTCAAACTGTGTTGAAAGATCGGGCTCCATAGCTCTGACTGTGGTGCACCCAGACCAGGCTTTGATTTTAGTTATCCCTTTGGATTGTCTTCCTTGGCAGGTTTGACCTCCAAGTTCCCAGTGGTGGCTACCACATCACCTGAAAGGACTCAAACTTTGGTGGTTACTACAACACCTTTTGCTTCTGCCTTCTTCCAAGAGGTTTAACCCTAAAACTACACAACACGTCACATGACATATTGATTAACTTGCTATAAATTGCACATCACGTCATATGACATGTTGGAGTACTACGCAAGATTTAAACGGCCCGCGGATACATGGGGTTCACCTCACCTTCATCAGGGCTCTTGTAAACAGATGCCATTTAAAAAAAAAAAAAATGGGCCACATTCCCGGGTGTGAGTTTCTCAGTACCAAGTGAGCCACCAAGGCTGGCGCACGTAGTATGAGCTCACAGCACTGCTGTTCAGCTTGTGACCACAGCATCGTCTAAAAATGCCATAATATATTATGTAAATGCTATTATTTAGCGATGATAGTATTACAGAAGACCCCATTTACTTCGATAAAAATGACCAGGTTTCTGATAACAGTAGGATTGTTGTGATAATTAGCGCTGTAGTGGGAGGAGTAATCTTGGTGGGGAGTGATGTAGCGTTATCTGCCCAACTCTGTGTGACCACCTTTTACTGTCTGGACTCGCTATACCAGCTTAGTTGTTCACTATGGTGAACAAAACATGCAGATACTTGTATATAATGTCTGTATATAGTCAATAAAAGCAAAAACAGTATGGTGGGAGGAGAAGGGTGGCGAGTTAGGTGAGGTTAGGGAGTGAGGGAGTGACAGTCAGTGGCGGGCTGCCACTGCCACTCAGCATACCAACTTAGTGGTTTGTTATGGTGAACAAAACGTGCAGATACGTATATATGACCTGTGTATATAGTGTAATAACCGACAAAGTATTTGTTTATTGTTTTATGAACCCAATAATTGAATCAATAATATGCACACCATAATTTTGAGTACAGCAATGATTCACACATTTTATTATATAAATATATCACACTACACACTTGAATATTATTACAGCAAAAAAAAAAAAAAGAAAAATTGGACATTGAAACAATTAGGTAATTATCTCTTTGTGGCCACTCCTGCCTGACAGCTGGGGCTGGACAGACTGCCTCGGACGCACGCTGTGTCAGCCAGCTTGCCACACTCCTTTTTGCCAGACTTCCCCCTCCCTATAGTGGGCAAAATATGCCACTTACAATGTTTTTATTATTTTTTCCATGATCAGGGAACACAAATTAACAGTGTTAGAAGATTTTTTTTTTATGAGCCTGTGGCTGACAATGGCCAAATAGCCCTTAGCAACACAAGGGTTAAGACGATGTCCTCGCTACCGAGTGTTTACATTCCAGGACCTGTTTGGCCCTGCTACATGGCCATGTCAGGCGGTCAGGTGCAGCATCATCTATTAACTGACAACTGTGCTAAGTTCTATTGATGCCATGCAAGTAAATAAGTAATTATCAAAAGAAGGCACCAAGCCGGGAAGGCTATGTAGCACCATCAAATGTGTGGAATAATCAGAGGGCGCTAAATATCATTAATGATGCTAATATGAGAACAGAAATGCATAAGGTGAACGATATCAAAAGTATTCGACTCGCCAAGAATTCTATCTAGGGACAAGTGACTGTGAGGGATGATCGGGAATCAAGACACGTTCGCCCTGGAAGTCATTCAACAAGGATATGCATGACCGTAAGAGGGACAATGCAGTTTGAACAATAAGGAGCAGGGCGGCTCTTCATTAAGTGTCCGTGAGTTAAGCGTGTATGACCAATACACAACCTTGCCAGAGCCGTTTCTCACTGCCGGTTATGGTGGTAGGAGGAAGGCCATAGGGACACTACTCTTACGAGCATGCAGTTTGTTACCAGTGACTGAAGACTAACAATTCTGCCAATGGGCAAGGATGGAGGAATGAATAACTAAAAAGTCAGAATAAGGAATACCTTTACATGAAATGGGACAAGTGAGGATAGCTTCCTTGGCGACAGTGTCTGCACGTTCATCTAGGGGGACACTAACATGGCTGGGAACCCAGCAAAAATCCATTGTCTTAAATCTACTGGAGATGAGAAACAGCCAATGCTGAATCTCAATTACTGCCAGATGGCCTGGATTAAAGGAATCCAGAGCCATGAGAGCACTGTGAGAGTCGACTACAACAACAAAGGATTGACAGCGAGAAAGCAGTTGACGAAGAGCATAGAGAATACATAAAGTTCTGCCCTGAAGATGCTAGTCTCCGGAGGCAGGCGACACACACAGGTGTGGTCAGGAAAAACAACAGAGAAGCCTACACCGTCTGCAGATTTAGACCCATCAGTGAAGACAAGAACGGAGTGGGAATGTGAAGGAAAGTGTTCAAGGAAAAGGCATTTCAGAACTGTAGGATGGGTAAAAGCTTTAGTCACTTGTGTCAGGGTTTTACAAAATTTAGGAAGAGAGACCCTCGGGGGACCAAGGTCGGAACAACATGAGGAGAAATATTGGTAACACTAACCAAAAGAGAAGTTTGTAGGCGAGTCAACCATACAGAAAGAGGGAGGTGGTGAAGGGAAATAGGGACCACAGGAAGGGCAGAAGTCAATGCACGACATGGGCGAGAGTGAGGGTGTTGCAAGGACCTCGCAAAGTAGCGATCCTGGAGAGACAGGACACCGGTTTCAACATACAGGCTTGGTTCAGTAGGAGTCGAACGAAAGGTACTGGAGCTGAGGTGTAACCCAGTATGGTGCAGAGCATCAAGACGGGCAAAGAGTAGGAGAAGCAGATACGTAAGCAGGGCAACCATAATCGAGTTTAGACAGAACGAGAGAGGAATATAAAGAGAGGAGCGTGTGCCTATCCAACCCATTCTCGCACTTGCTTACAGTCAATATTGGCTTATTTAATAAGTGCATATGTGACATACTAATTGATTGTCAATATTTTAGTTAACCTTGAAAAGCTTCATAGAAAACACCGACCTCACCTAACCTTCTTAGTATGTTAAGATAAGCATCTTATTGCGTCTTATTTACAATTATTTTTTTTTTTTTTTTTTTTTTTTTTTTTTTGAGATATATACAAGAGTTGTTACATTCTTGTACAGCCACTAGTACGCGTAGCGTTTCGGGCAAGTCCCTGGAATACGATCCCCCGCCGCGAAGAATCGTTTTTTCATCCAAGTACACATTTTACTGTTGCGTTAAACAGAGGCTACAGTTAAGGAATTGCGCCCAGTAAATCCTCCCCGGCCAGGATACGAACCCATGACATAGCGCTCGCGGAACGCCAGGCGAGTGTCTTACCACTACACCACGGAGTTATTACTTAACCTATCAACGGTATAGGTTAAGTAATAATTGTAATTAAGAAGCAATAAGATGCTTATCTTAACATACTAAGAAGGTTAGGTGAGGTCGATGTTTTCTATGAAGCTTTTCAAGGTAAACTAAAATATTCACAATCAGTTAGTATGTCACATATGCACTTATTAAATAAGCCAATATTGACAAGTGCGAGAACGGGTTGGCCTATCAGCTCCCCAAGAAGTATGGGACAAGACCTAAGGAGATTAAGGGCCTTAAAGCATTAAACTCGAAGGTAAGAGATATGGGGTGACCAAGACAAATGAGTGTCAAAAATTAGCCCCAAAAGCTTAGCAGAATCTTTGTACAAAAGGAGATGACCATAAAGCGACAGAGGAACGAAGAACGACCTGTTTCTGAGTAAAAGTCATAGCACAAGTTTTAGTAGTAGAAAACCGGCGGACTTGGCGTCTCACTTCAGGAAAAGACAAACGATTGCAGTCCTTCAAATTGAGGATGGCTTCCTCAAATTTGTAATGAATACACGCGTGGGAGAAGGTAGGGTGTGCGTCACCGCAATTGAGGCAGCAAGCCTGGGAAGAAGAGCACCATGCTCAAAATTTAAGGGCACCATGCCCAAATTTCCAGCACTTATTGCAATGTCTAGGAGAGGGAATGTACTCTTGGACAGAGCATCTGGCACCAGCAAGAATTATAGAAGGCGGAAGAGTCCTGCTATCAAAAGTGATTTTCACAACTCGGAGGCATTGATGACGACGACCATGAGGGAGTCGAATGAACATATCAACCTGGAGGACAGAATGGCCTTGGGCTTCAAGAATATGTTAAATATCCTCATGGCAGTTTTTCAGGTCTCTAACACCAGTCAACATGGTGCAGGAGAACTAGTCTCCCCAAAGCTGGTCAATGCAGCTAAGCAGATAGCTGCATCCTGAGGAGCAGCAGCAATGACACGGGTACTAAAATGGGTGGGGTTAAAAGTAACAGAGGCATCCACTGAATCAACAAGGTATTTATGGAGGAAGAAATCGTCAGGAACCATCGGGTAAGAAATCCATACGGGTAAGATCAAAGTATTTAGTCCATGTAGCAGGACCAAACAAAGCACGGGAAGGAATCATGTGGGAGTGTCTGTGGGAAGGTCGGTGCTGAGAACAGGGGAGTAGTCAGGAGGGTCAAAGGAGTAGTCTGGTCTGGGCCCAATGTAGCGAGGGCTACAGAGCCCAGTCTTCCATCACAGTCCAACTCGGGGGGCCTGGTCGCTCACCCCACAAGTCTGGGGTAAGAGAGATTGGTTCGGTTTGCATATATCATTCGTTTTAAAAAAACTGGGGATTGGAACCAAGGGATACCACCTACAAGGGCAGCCAGAGGGGTCGAGTGCAGACGAATGCAGGAAGGGGTGCGTTGTCCCCAGCGGTGCTCCCTCTTTTTAACAGGGGAGTCCTACTGCATTGTCCATTATCCCACACTGGTGCAAAGACCCTATTCTTCCTTTTGCCCCAGCCTGAATACCCAGCCATCCACTTAGAGCAGCCCGACGGGCGACCCCTCCAGCGAGCGGTCCATTGATTCACAAGGACACTACATGGTGCCCTTCTGCACGTACAACACCCAAAGAGGGGGCGAAGGCAACCCTCACCAGTCCCAGGGAGGTGTAGGTGAGCCCCTCACCACAAGGCGACACCACGGAGGGGTGATGCCATGCAAAATTACAGGATAATTGTTTTTCCCATCATCATCATCCTCTGGAATATATTTAAATACTAGCAAACAATCACCTAAAAACCTGCAATTAAATATCCTTTCACTGTTAGAACAACAAATCAGCATATGAGCATAAAAACTGTCCGTAATTGGCAAATATTTATTAAACAAATAATTTTTGACAACACAAGTTATATAAATTGCAAGTACAACAGGCCAGAATACTGAAGCATTATGTAAACATGCTGTTTTATTGGCTGTTGGTACTTATTCTTTCAAAGATATCAGAAAATATACAAGGCCACATGCAACCAAAATAAATGGTTGCTTCAATAAACTATGATCTGGTATTATGGAACCAGTAGCTATATTTTTATCTTGAGATTCTTCTCTTTCATGTCTTGTAAACAAGACTAGTTTTGAAAGCTTTTTTTTTTTGTTTTTTGTTTTTTTGCAAATTGGATGCACACAAGACCTAATATGGTGTAACTCGAACATGTACTCCAATACTAATTTATTAAAGATCAGCAATATATTTTTCAGAATTTCATGAAAAATTAATTTTGGCTCTTTTTTTTTTTTTTAAGTATCATTTGAAACTATTTAAATACCTAATAAATACTTGTTTAATTTCAAATGCATGAACAACCAACATTTTGCCACAGACATGTTCAGTACATTTCAGTTAATGGTAAAGCATTCTGGCCATGGCTAGCAGGTGTTCCCTGTACCTGTGATCATGATTGCATTCACCCACTGTAATATAAACTTGACATTGAAAATGATCTGAAGTACTAAAAACCTACTGAATAATGAATGGTATGATCATACCCATCTGGACAAGTCTGAAGTATGATGGATGTGTAAAATTTGTACATATCTCCTCTGGTGATGATGATGATAAAATAGATATAATCAAATGAGTGAATCTCATTGGTGATACAGGAATGTTGCTTCCTTCAAGACAAGGAAGTGGATTTCTCAAATTATCCTTATTTACATAATGTGCAATTTAGTTATAAATTACAAATTTTGTACAATACTTGAATTTTTACATAAATAAAAATGCCAAAAAGTTATAATACTGAATCATTACATAATGCTGTACAAATATATATACATAGCATTCTGCACATTCACAGTAACTTGCTCAGTATTTAGTGTACAAATAAATAAATGGGAGAAACAGACTGATCACCAAGAAACTATGACAGTATCAACAAACCTGAACACCTTTATTCCTCATATGAACTTATGAACTAGACACACACACAGTGTATGAAAAAATATACAGTATTACTGGAAATTGTCCCATCCACCGCCACCTTCACCTCTGCCTCTTCCCCGTGGTGGCCCGCCCCTACTCCGTCCACGTTGAAAGTCGCCTCCTCTACTCCTTCCTCTTTGGAAATCTCCCCTCCCACCCCTTCCTCCATATTGGAAATCCCCCCCTCCTCTAAATGACCTTCCTCGTCCTCTCCAAGAAACACCCCGTCCCCCATGACCACCGTAATTTCCTTCCTCATTATCCCACCCTCCTTCCTGATTGTTATTGAAGTTTCCACCTTTACCATTCCATGAACTATCATCATTATGCCAAGCAGATCCACCTCCACCCCTATCCCCACCTCTGTCTCCACCACCACCACCACCACCATGGTCTATCCCCATTCCTCCTACTCCTCCTCCCCTACCTCCTGAACTCTCGTCCACACCACCACCTCGCATTCCTCCTCTCCCTCGCCAGTGGTTGGGTCTACCCCAATTTCCACGTTCATCCTCCTCGAAATTTCCAAAATCTTTGAACCCTCCACGACCTCTTCCTCGGCCACGACCTCGACCCCAGCTTTGTGCTCTGTCATCCATGTTGCCCCTTTCTCCTCCACCATTATTAATATTATCACCATTATTTTGGTTCTCATGGCTCCATTCATTTTCATAGCCTTGTTCACTATGTTCATTTGTGAACCTTGATCCACTCATTCCTAAACCATAACCACCTCTAGGGTTCCCTCTATGAGGCCAAGCTCCTCGTTGCCCTCCACGATTAAATCCTGCATCAGAATGGTTTCTGAAGTTACCTCTCGGAGTACCAAAATTACGAGGACTGGTTATGAAGTTATTGCTGCTGTTATTATTGGTATTTGTGGTGGTGGGCTGAGGGTTCGGTTCACTAAACTGGCCCTGCTGGAACCCTCCAGTTTTCTTTTCTGTAGATTCTTCAGTGCTATAAAAAAAAATTGGATTAGTATATTGACTTGAATTAATTTACTGTATTTACAATTATAAGATATGTTGTTTATATTGTACACCAAACATGACAGCATGAAGGCCTTTGTCTAAAGCAGTCATCTTTAAGACATTGTAGCTCATACTGTATATGGTATATAGATCCGGCACTCAAACCTAGACGAGTTGTTTTCATGCTGCCTCACATAATGTAGCCATGTTGCAAAATAAACTACAGTATATAATATTTTTGTTTTACCAATTATCTACATTCAGCAGAGCTTTTCATTCCTAAATTATATTCTTCCTATAAGTGCAGTACCTTCGGTCACACTCATTTATTGTGCTCAATATAGTACCCTCGATTATCTGCAAATTTAAATTTCTTTCCACCTTATTAGAATAATTGTTTGCTTGTTTACTCTTTCATGTTGCCATCTACATAAATATTAAATACAGGTTATTTCATATTCTAGCATTCCTGCAGACATTATGGCCTTGCTTGTGCTGCTTCCCCCCCCCCCTCTCTTATCCATGACTCTGAATTCACTTCATACAGTAACAATTTTTACAGTATACCATGCATTAAAAGAATGTCTTCTCAGTAAGTACATAGTTCCAGTTATAAGAACCCAAGAGCCTAGAAATACAAAGATACACAAAATTTACATTTTTTCTACAACTATTTTACAACTGCATGACAGCAATAAATAAAGGTAGGTCAGAGAATTTAAATTATATAAGTACTGTACAGTAATTGTATTTGAAGAAACGAAGACAAGATGTGCATAGCATTTTCAGTTATCTTGCATTACACTGGGTAATGTTCACAACAGTTTTGCAAGCACTTTACAGTAAAAGTGACCTCTGACCTCCCTTCATAATAGGATATGACATCATATGTATAGTACTAACAAACAGTATAAATCTTCATTGTATTTACATGGGATTGGCCACAAAAAGATAACCTGACCAAAAATGTTAATAAGACAAAATTAAATACAGGACCTAGGGAAACCAGCCAACCAGAATGTCATGCCAACTGGCAGGCAAGACAGATGAGTCTTGGCAAAATAAATACAAAACCTTGCCCATGAACACCCAGCAAAGGAAGGTGAATGCATCCACTAACAAGAACAATCAATTAGGCAACCCAAGCGCATCCTCAGCAAAAGAGCATCGCCTCAACACATGCAAGTAGCAAGGCCAAGTACGATCACAACACAAGCACACAGCTATCTACAACTCCCCATTAAGTCTTTTGTGTTACCCAGAGGTGAGGTGTCTCAAGAAGAGTCAACTAATAGTCATTGATGTAAGCCAAGGCCTGGACACCTTGGCCCCACAGTTACTAGTCAGACTGATGAATGTTTTTGACAGCAGATTTGACACAACAAAGAGACCGGAAGAGGTAACATAAGTTGCTCGTGCAGAAGCCCAGTAATCTCAGAACACTGATGAACTGGTACCTGCCAATAGGCTTCCCAGAGATTAAAGGAGACCAGCCAAGAGTAGGGAGTGAGTCCCCAACAAACTACCACAGTGTTACTAAGAAAGATGGATAAGGTATATAAGCATTGATTCTTAAAAGGTTGAGGTTCAATGTCTTCTTGATGAAACCTTTCATCACCACTAGGAACATATGGGGCTGTGCCTGAAGAAAACGTTCCATGCAAATTACCTAATTGTTCAATATTTCCTTATTGTAATTCAAAAGAACAAGGAAAATTGTTGCCCAAGGATGATGGAAATCTTGGAAGGAAAGGGTGACCAATTACAAGCCAGACCCTGGACACCAGAGCCCAGAAACTCATAAATTAACCCAAGCATGGGAAAAATGCCTTCATATATTGTCCCACACCACCATCAATATAGGGAAGGTTGGTGCCATGAAAAAGCTACTAGTGACAGGAATGAAACCACTGTAGAAAAAAGGAGGTTCAACAGGACTAACCACAATGCTAGGGATGTTGCAAACTTTAGTCTGAAGACATAACTACTCAGTGGCTATAAAGAAACCTGCACATAAAACTAAAAGTGGCTGGACAGTATATATAGTATTTTTATATTGTCCAATATCTAATTTACAAGAGGTAGTGAGAATAAGGTAATTATTAGGAGACAGCACGAAGCCATTAAGACTATATAGCGAGGTAGTGAGTAAAATAATACAAGTACAAATACATTTACAAATTATACTGTGTGAAACAATATCATTCAAGCCTTCCTTACCTACAATAAAAACAGGCTTAACTGTAGCTTGGGTTTACTTAACATGTATGACATACTATCTGCTGCATCAACAAAATAAATTCCTTTTTTGCCATAATTCATTGAATGTGTACTATATAATTCAGCAACTCATGCTGGGTTGTCTTTGTCCTCTATAAACTTGTCCAGACTTATGCCTATTAAAATTTATTTAAGTTTCCTCTTCTAGACTTTCAATCATATAAGATGAATGACAAAATATTAACCATAAAACCTACTTTCCCAAAATGTTCTCGGCATCTTAATCTTTTACCTGTGATATATGATTAGAACAATAGCTTGGACAGATTGTGTACAAATTTAAAACATAACTTAAAAGAACAAAGAATATACAGTATAACAGTAGTGGCCTTACCTTGCATTAGGATTAAGTAGCTGATTCTTTTCCTTGATAAGTTTCCTAGCAAACTCATAGTCACCGGTGACTTCTGCAATGGCTTCTTCCTCCTCCATCGTAGTAAAAGCCTTTTGGATTACGTCACCTGACACTTTCTCTGTAATTTAACATTCTTCATTATTTCTTTTAGTTTAATTTAATATAAAAATTATTTCTTTTTCATCATCTAGTACAGTATATCTCTCACTATTTATCTACATTCCATTTATATCAATCAGCATATCTTTCTTGCTTGTCATTCTTATCAATTGTTGTATCACTGTTTACTTATCCACCTGCCACTCCATAAGTCTATATTTGTCTATCACTGTTTAGCATTTTTTCTCACTATTGAGTGATTAACACTTTGCACCAAAGAACTAAACACCAAAAAACAGGGTCCAAGGGCTATAGCTAGCAATATACAGATGACCACTCCATGATGAGGATGACCAGTAAAGAAAAGTTAACAGGCAGCCTTAATAACACTTCTGTGGCCCTCTATTTATTCACCTGACACGAGTCTAGTCTAGTCTAATCTCTGTCTGTCTCTGTCTGTCTGTCTGTCTGTCTGTCTGTCTCTGTCTGTCTGTCTCTGTCTGTCTGTCTGTCTGTCTCTCTCTCTCTCTTTCTCCCCTTGTGCAACTCTACAAAAAACACACTTACATATATATAATCGTACCTTTTTTTTTAAACTGCGATATTTTTAAAAACAACTTTCAATTACACATGCCAAAAGTTCAGTAATTTAGAAATACAAAGGTATTAAAGTTCAACAGTTAAACCAATTCATTATTTTAAAACATGAAAATGACTTACCAAGTGGTATTAGAAATCCGCAATAGAGAATAGAGTTTGCTTTAATAGTATTAAGTGGTACAGAGCCAGCAGGGAGCTCATCGCCATCATCGGTGTAAACCAACTCTCCCTCTATGTTGGCTGGCAAACTGAACAAGGCAGCACTGTCCGTCACCACCCAACTAGTCTGTTAAAACAATCTTATTTATTATCCAATACTTGTACATAATAACATGAAGTATAGGAATGCTGCCGCACACACTTGTACAGGAATGTATAATTAACTTAAATACTGCAGTATATTAGAAAGGTTTAGTTCCAAAATATCAGATACAAAAATATCTTTTATAAGATGTAGTAAATAACTAGAGATGACCAAAAGCAGTTAACACCATGGGATGGATGTTGAGATGCACAACTTACCGCACTGTTCTCTTCCTCCATCTCTTCATCCAGCCCTCCGGCAGCGTTCCAGGCAGCCTGAAAAGTCTTGGGGATAGGCTTGGCATAAGGAGTCTTCTTAGAAAACCTGAAAATATTAACTTGTAAATATTGGATGACGCACCTGGTTGTCGTTGCCCCTAAATGAACAATATTTTCATATAAAATTACAGTACTATACTGTAATAGTGAATATGAACAAAATAAAAGTTATGGTGGTGAACCGAGAAGAAAATTCTGTGAAATAAATGTAATTTATAAATAAATAGTTTAATAATGTGAAAATTAGAATTATGACTGTGCCATGTTTACCACAAAAGATATAAGCCCAATAATTAGGTTAATATGGTTCTGTATACTGTATATATATATATATGCCTCCTGATATAACAAAACCCCTTTGTGATGTTTTTTAAATTATTTATAATAAAATAATGTGGATGGGTGGATTGTGTGTTTAAAAACATGAAAGCAGATTAGAACACAAAAATGCACAAATGTCATACACAACCATTTTTGTATATGGATCTTCTTGAGGTTAACTTGAGATGATTTCGGGGCTCAGTGTCCCCGCGGCCTGGTCCTTGACCAGGCCTCCACCCCTAGGAAGCAGCCAATAGTAGCTGTCTAACTCCCAGGTACCTATTTACTGCTAGGTAACTGGGGCATCAGGGTGAAAGAAACATTTTGCCCATTTGTCCCTGGCTCCACCGGGGGATCGAACCCAGAACCTCAGGACTACGAATCCGAAGCGCTGTCCACCCAGCTGTCAGGGGCTGGATGCTCACATTAACAACGTATGTCTTCTATCTTTCACTTTCAGCAAGATGGCCGAATACATTTATATGGTTAGGTTAGACAAAGTTACTTTAAATTTTTTAAATGACCCATTTATACATGAAACTACTTGGTGCATTTGCCATATAAATGAATTAAATACTGTAGTTACACGTTATGTAACAAGATTGTATTTATTCTGATTACTCGCATAAATTCATTAAAAGAGGATCTGGTTAATAGGGTTAAAATTTTAAATACCAAATTTCTATAGTGAGTCTAGGTAAGCTGTAAATTTAAATTATTTTAATTATAAAAGTACAACACTAGTTGTCTAATATATCACACTGGAACCATAACTCATTCAATGTGGGAAACTCTTGTAAAGTTTCCCATATATACTTACACTTTAATACACTTACTGTATTAAAATTCTAATAAAGTCCCAAAATTACTGCCCAAGAGTTTTAACATTTTAGGAGAGAGAGCGTGATCATGACCCCACTGTCAGATCAAACAATATGAGAGAAATACTGTGGGAAGTTGAACAAGGCAGCCATATCTATTTGTACTTTTATGAACTTTTTGTCTGCCAGAGATGAATTATTATTATTATTATTATGAAGAAAAATCATAAGCAAATCAAGGCATCTGATGCTTGTAAGTGCATCAGAATACTTTTATGCACTTTTTGTCTTTCCGAGATGAACTATTATTATTATTATTATTATTATTATTATTATTATTATTATATTATTATGAAGAGAATTCATAAGCAGATGCTTGTAAGTGCATCAGATGCCTTTACAGCATCAAAGTAAGGTAAGGGTTAACCTGGAGGGCCACAGCATCAAGTCCAGCCACAAAGTCATCTTTTAAAAACACAACAGTACAGCCATGGAATAACAGTACTAATGATAAAGACGTAATCAAATACATGAGTATATACGAGAGTGTTACTGAAAAAATTGTCGATAATAAGTTGGCAACATCATTAACCACACTCATTTTTATTCAGAAATGTTTCTCTGAATTGATCTGTTACGAAAATCCATTATCAAGCTATATTATATAAACTGAGTCTAAATACAAGAACAAAAATATTTTGCAGCAACTCACCTATCAAATCCAGAACTATCAAAGTCTAAGCCAGGAATAGTTTCTGGCCCGGTAGACTCTGCTTCCTCTACCTTGTCTTCAGGGCCCATGCCAGGAATAACTCCTTGGGAGGTTAAGCCCGTACCAATTGGAATATCATCTGAAATCCATTAAACTCCAATTAGCTTTATTTAGCTCCACACACTGGCTTTTGTGGCTAGCTACCGTACACTACAGTCAACAGTAATTCTAGATTTGCACTCATGTACTGACATTGTAACTGTTTATTGTGTTATAATATGCTAATCACACATACATGTACAGTATATTGTAGAGAGTATACCTGCCTGCAAATTTTCCATATATTGGTTTAAGTATAAATCTTGTAACATGATTGTAGTGAGAATAAAGAATGTGGGAATGCTGAGGATGTGATTCAGGCATAAGAGAAGAAGCAGACTCATAAAGGATAAAAACAATGCAAAAGCAAAAAAATTAAAATAAATAAAGATGGTGAATGGAGAAAGAAAAGCTGCTAGAATTACACCATGGAAGAAGAAGAACTTAGCAACCACTAAATGGTGCATGATGTTTAATAGTAGGGATGGTGGCACTTAAATATTCCCACAAATTTTCTAAATTATACTTATCAAGGAATTTGTTTAATTTGCAGCACAATAGCACATGCCTACATTCTCTTCAGTGTTGTGGGCCACATAAAAATAAATAAATGCCTGTACAAATTAAGATCAACTGTGAAGTAGTCTTGAGATCTCTGGCTCTTGCCAGGTGCCCCTAGTCCCATGGTTTATTGAATAGGAAGGTAATATCTTCCAGACTTGCTTTACTGGGTTGACACTTGAAGGTATCTGAATCACCCTGTTGAGTTTGCCTTTCCCTAATTTAGTACTGTATATGGTATTCATTATATCTGTCCTTCCAATATTCTGTTTAGAGCCCAGCTCTGGATTTATGCTTTTTTTGCCTGTTCCTTCTTGCGAGATTCTTTTTGGTGTGGGACATGGACTAAGTACTTTGCATGCCTTACAACAGTGTGCAGGCATTGTTAACACTTCCCACAGCTGCAATGCAGGATTATTCAGCTAAGTCAACCTTCCTTATTTCATGGGTGTGGGTTTTGCAACACACATGCCACTCTTTCCTGAAATATCCTACTCAAGACTTCTGAGCTATGGGTTTTCAACTGGACTACCTGCATATTTGTTAAGTACATTTTGTCTAAAGATTTCCTGCCTGTGATGTGATGTTGAGTTCCCTGTTGGTAAAGTGACCTGCTTCCTGTTTTGCTGTGGTAATAATACCTGACCAGATTAGGGTTTGATAGAGCAGTAATTTTCTATGAATTTACCTCTAGCAGTCATTCTAGTAATCTGAAATCAGTGTAGAGATGAAAATATCAAGCTAATAGCAGAGTTTATTTGAATATCATGTTGAAATAATGATCAATCAACTTGATACTTTCATCTCTATAGCACTGATTTATAACATAGAGAAAACAGTGGTAGCTGACTACTGCCTGCATTAATCAGAGCCAATAGATTGGCGGATTCTGCTGCATAAAAAAAATTAGGTGACCCCTAGAAATGGTAGTAATTTGAAAGTGATATAAAGAAAGTCTAACATTAAAAGCCTGATAACAAAGGCCATAGCTTTGTGCCACAGAAAGGACAGAATATTAAAGGTAAACTTAATTCCTACCAATATCCATTGAGTCATCAGCAAGTACTCCAGCAGGTAATGTGTTCAGGTTGTACTTGTCTCTCATTTTGTCACCAGGACGATTTCTTGTCCAGAACTTTGAGGTGTGATCGTTGGAGCCCGAGCAGAGAATATGACCAAGAGGATGCCATGCCAGGTCCCAGATGATGCCATCATGGGCAGATTCAATAGCTCCAACTTCCTTATCATTCCTAATGAAGAAAAATTATTTGTATTCATTATTTTGCATGCATAGGGAAAGGAGGCACACACATACATCATAACATAATAAACAGCAAAAGAATTCCAAATACCTGGTACATTACCTATTTGAGAATGAAAATAAAATGAAATCTCCAAAATACACGCCTCAAAATAACAAATAACGGGTATATTACACTACATCTAAACAGATCAATTTTAATATCAGAGTTCTCATCAAAAATTTGGATTTAGATCAAAATATTTTATCATTTGCAGTGAAACCTGAATCATCACAGGTAATATTTTCAAGCAAATTATTCTTCTGGTAGATAGCCATTACTTTAAGGGGGGGCTTGGGCCCCATTTGACCCCGCTTGGGTTGGGTGTTGGTATCCTCGGCATGTAGCTTCTTGTTACAGGGGCAGGGAGGGTTTTCCTAAACATTTACCCACTGAGTGTGGTATCTTCTTTAAAATTGCTCGGAAGTAGTCTTTGACGAGTTAAAAGTTAAAATGTTAGTTTGTTAGTTTGTTAGTTAGTTAAAACTCATTAGTTAAAATGAGTTTGACAGAATTCTTATTCACCAAGTTAACAGGAGTCATAAGGCTACCTTTAAAAAAATAAATAAGGTAAGGGGCTGGGGTATGGGCAGTATTGTACTGGAGATCAAGGTGAAAACTATAGAATCAAGTTCTCCTGGTTGTAATGTCTAGCATTTTATTTATATTAATCTAAGTGTTTTGTTTTATTATTTAAATATCAGAATTTTTTTGTCAATATTAATTTGTTTTTCATTTGCCAGTGTTTGCAAGTACAGTACTGTATGTTGAATTGTTTATGAGAGAATCACCACAAGGCAAGGTAAGGAGAATGTTTGTTAGAAAAGTAGATTTCCCATGTACAGTATTTTTGTGTAGCGAGCGTCACCTCGCTCTCTGCCAGCGGACACCGAGAGAGAAGTTGGACTCAGCAGGAAGAGGTGGTGTGTTCAGTTGTGCTTGTGAGGCGCCCACTTTCATAGCAAGGTGTTTATCTCAGTCTCTTTCCCATTGACACTGACATTTGCATACTTTTATGTAATTTAATTTATTGTGCGTGTTCGTTGACATGTGTGTTTAATCAAATAAATGTACACACCTCTCTGGTTTGTTTAAATTCTTCAAGATAAATGGTTGTGTGTGTAGTCCGCTAGAACTCAATCATTTATTTGTTGAAGTGTCATTCTTATAGTATTGTGTATATTAACATTAAATAATTAATTTAACCACCGTGCTGCTCCGAGTTTATTGTGAAAGTCCCCGTGCGCATGAAATAAAGTGTTCCCAAAAAATTATTTTTTCTTTGTAAAGTGATAAATTTCCTTCCCTGAACATGTCTATGTAAAAATAAATACCAAATTCCACTTACTTTGGCTGTGAGGACGTGGACAAGGTGTGCTGTGACATCATCAGGGCCTGGTCGCCCATGCATGACTCGCCCAGATACGGTCGCACGGGCCATTCAAGTATCGGGTGTTGCCACAAATATATTTTCAATTACTTGTTCTATGTATTTCCAATGTGTTTTTTTTATTATATATAATGTATATTTGTGTCCTTTACAATATGTATACAGTAGAATGTTCATAACGTTCCATGGAACTGTGATACATGTGTCAGTAATGTGTCCACAATAAATGTTTATTGTTGCAATATTACTTGTTAAAAATTCACTATAATTACATATATACAGTTTCACACACTATTTACACAGTAACACACTGTATTACACACTCAGAACTTCAGAAGTGAGTAATAATCAACGAAGTTGTCCACGATGCACAGCGCGACTTCGCTTTCTTTGCACCAGGTACAGATAGATTTTCGCTTCCTGTTTCTTCATTCTGTGTGCTTGCAAATAACGCACTCATGTACACCCTTGGCTTTAGTACTTGTAGGTTGTATGTAGCCAAGCTTGTAAAGCATAAGGTAGTATTGAAAAGACTATAGGAAAAGATCAATTTGTAAGGTAGTCTTGAAAAGATCGCTTTGTATCGTCCCACACAGGAAGAGATTCAGCTTGCCTCAAAGAGTGTCCGTCAGTCAGGAAGAGATTCAGGTATTCTTGAAAATATCTATGGAAAACACCACCATGGAAGCCGCTAACACTGTTCATCTATGCTACTTGTATCAGATGCATCATCTTAAGGTTATCTTGAGATGATTTCGGGGTTTTTTAGTGTCCCCGCGGCCCGGTCCTCGACCAGGCCTCCACCCCCAGGAAGCAGCCCGTGGCAGCTGACTAACACCCAGGTACCTATTTTACTGCTAGGTAACAGGGGCATAGGGTGAAAGAAACTATGCCCATTGTTTCTCGCCGGCGCCCGAGATCGAACCCGGGACCACAGGATCACAAATCCAGCGTGCTGTCCGCTCGGCCAACCGGCTCCCTTCATCACGCTCGGCCGACCGGCTCCCATCATCACTGAACGCCGAAAACAAATCATCTATGTATCATCTAAATAAATTGGAGATGGCATAGGATTACAAGGGTGCGCTCAGAGCTACAACTGGATATGCTCACTGTATCGTCCTCATAGGTGCTGTATCACTTGCATCTGAACTTTGTGTTAGGTCCTTATTGTGCCTAGGTTCACCAATATTATGACCCTTATGTTCATCAAACAATAAGGTTTGAATTTCACCGACAGAGCATTATCTTTCAACACCACGTCGGACAGATGTTTGGAAGCCAGAGACGCGTGTGCCACCCATGGTTGCTCACTCAGTATTAACCCAGCCAGCAGCCCTAGGGCATTCTGGGAATTTTTTCCAAGATGGCTGCCTCTCACTGGACGTCCTAAAAGACCATTTCGTACACAACCAACCTTGCACACATTTAGAATGTGTACGGAAAAATAAAAAATAGTTTTCTTGGTTGGCGCAGTTTCCCGCCGACCAAGAATGCTGTACTTGGTTGGCACAGTTAAGTGGTTAAAGAAATAAAATATATAAAAAAGCTTGTATACTTCTCCCCTCATTTACATGATATGCCATTGCTACCTAATGAAAGTCTCATTCCGAGACCAGATTTTTTTTTTTTTACATAACTGATGTGTTCATTACAGCAAATAAAACTTTAGTATTTATATACAGTACTTTCTGTTAAACCATTATTTATATATTGTTTATATATTATCTGAAAATTTACAACAAAATTTGATTTTAAACTGCAAAAAACACCAAATTCGGTATTCAGAAATTCAGAGCCTGCCCTGACTGTACATACAGCAGGACCTTGCCAGAGGAAGCTGAGGGGTGCAGCTCAAAAATGAAAATAAACCTGACATAAATATAACAAATGCTTACCCAACATGCCAGAACAATATGGAGCCATCAGAGCCTCCACTTGCAAACAGACCCTCATGATGAGGGTGCCAGCCAATGCATGATGCTTCTTTTTTGTGACCTCGAAATACCTAAAAAAAAATAAAAAAAGGAACATTCAGATTACTTTTTTTGTGCTGATGGTAGCTGTAATTAATTAGTTATTTAAAAAATTATTTACATATACAGTACAATACGAAGATACTGGCATGGACTGCAAATGGACTGCTACTGAACTTAGAATGATATAATAGACATAACAAATTCCTAGTCAATGATTCAATATTACATTGAAAATTTGCTTTCTGGACAAAGTACACATAGTACACATTGATGGTATGGGAAGCAGGAATTTCTTACAAGCATGCATCAACAGCCAAGTCTCTTATCAGAGGAAGTTATTACCTGTACTCAAAAAGCATATCTTTCTGCACATATGATTCCAGCCTGTTTTCCTTCCTATGACCATCCATATTGTAGTATGTGTCCATGTTAGGTTTCATGTTCTAACCTATGAAATCTAAACCATATGGATTTTAGGATTGTATACTGACCAGCTAAAGTGAGCAATATGGAGATATGGGGACATGACCCAAGATGAAACAGAAGACAAGCAAAATACTGACATAATATACAAAGATTTTGCGAGGTATTCAACAAATGTGACAATAGTGTTATTGCAAACAAAATCCACACACAAAAACAGAATTACTGGCAAAGTAGGAAGATGGATCTTTAATTTCCTACAAAACAGAACTCAAAGAACCATTTAAAAGTCAATAAATTCAAATCCAGACCATCCACCATGGAAAGCTCTGTTCCGTAGGATACAGTGTTTACCCCCAGTACTTTTCCTTATTCTCATATTGGACGTAGGAAAGGAACAAACTATAGTACCATATCTTTTGCAGATAGATTTTTATAAGAGTAGACAATTTAGATGACACAGGAAACCTCCAAACTGGTGTAAATCAGGTATTCCAAGTGGCCACAGAAAACACCATAATGTTCAATGAAGGTAAGTTCTAGCTATTCTACTACAGTAAAAAAATATCAAAATGGAAACTACATATAAAACAGTCAAATCACACATTAGAAAGAAAAAAGTAACCAAACAAATTTGGGAGTAATTATGTCAGAAGACCATACTTTTAAAGAACACAATAAAGTAGTTGTTACAACTGCAAGACAATTGACAGGCTGGATGTCAAGAACCTTTCAAACAAGAGATAGCAAGCCAATGATGGTACTTTTTAAGCCACCAGTTCTCTCTTAAGATATTGTTGCACATTAATATCCTCATTCAAAGCTGGAGAAACTGCTGACCTGGAGAATGTAAAGAGACCATTTACTGCCCAAATCCATTTAATAAACCATCTATATTGTTGGAAATGTTTAAAATTTCTTAAGCCATATTTTCTAGAACGAGGCCCAGAAAATAAATAATATATACACTCGGAAAATATCAAAGGGACTACACTAGTTCCAAATCTGCTTACAGACTTACAGAAATAACTCCTTACGAGACCAGGAGGATCGACAGCAAGTGCAAAATAGCCCCGTTAAAAAGCAAGGTGTAATAGGTACACAGCGAGAATGCTATCAATATTAAGTGACAACGGCTTTTCAACTCTCCCTTTAAACATGTGAGGCATAATTAGCTGACCTCTCATGGTGTTCAAAAGAGAACTTGATAAACACCTCCAAAGGATACCTGATCAACCAGGCTGTGATTCATATGTCAAGCTGCAAGCAGCGGCATCTAACAGCCTGGTTGACCAGACCATCAAACACATAGGCCTGGTCAGTGACTGGGCTGAAGGGGAAGGGAACTAAAAGGAGAAAGTGCCAAGCCATTACGACTATATAGCACTGGGAAGGGGTCAGGATAAGGATTTGGGATGAGACAGGGAAAAGGAATGGTGCCCAAGCACTTGGATGGTCAGGGATTGAATGCCAACCTGCATGACCCAAGTTCGTTGCTCTACCGTCCAACCCAAGTGGTGGTGACCGGGCTGAGGGGACATCGATTCCCAGAACCAAAAACAGGTAGACAACAGGTAGGTGGATTCAAATGTGTACAAATCACTACTGTGTGCTACAGTTTAGCTCAATCCTGTGGGCAGTTGTGGAAAAGGTTACAGAAGCAAATACTGGAATGTACTGAACCTCACCACTGCACAGTATAAAATAAAGACAGCTTTTCACTAACCTGAAATTCTGTGGACAGATTACGAATATCAAAAAGTTTCAGAAGATGATCTCTGGAGGCTGAGCACAGCCAGTTTCCATTTGCATTCCATTTCAAGTCCATCACTGTGCTTTTGTGGGCATGTCTAGAAATGATTAAGAAAGAATAAATTAGTGTTTTAAAAGAAATGCATTTAAGAGTAACATAATACCAGATGTATGATGAAGCTTGTTAATATAATTACGTAATCAAAGCATTTTTTATAATGGAAGAAGAAAACTTTTATTCTAGCTATGAATTACAATGTGTACATGCAGTATATAGTTGAGAAGCTGAGTGAAAGGTGCATTTACATACAAATATGTGCACACGAGCACTCCCCACCCCTAACCACCACATAAAAACACACACAATGCCCCAGGGCTCTGTTCTGGTACTTCTGTTCTTTACCATATACATAAACAATTTAGACATGAGAGTGATAAAGAGGAATTCCTGAAACCTGCACCTTCAAGAAAAAGAGGTCGTAGATTCAAACTAAGGAAACAAAGGTGCCAAAAAATATTTAAAGTTCTCTTTTGCAAACATAGTGGCAGACGCTTGGAACAAGTTAGGTTAGGTTGAAAAAGTTACTGCGAAGACAAGACATCACAAGCACAACTCTCATCCTGTAACACTAAGGTACACTTGGCTAATCACATAAACAGTACAGTATATACAGGGTATATATCTTGAGAATGATGGCTGCCTACTACTATATACAGGGGTGTCCCTTAAGTCTAGAACAATGTCCCACTTATCTGGAACTATATGATGAAATGATGGAACTACCTTTTATTTTTTATTATTTTATTTTATTCACAGAATGTGTTCAATGTGCCTACCATTATGATTCCTACACAAACACAGATGAGGCATCCAGCCAGTAATCACACGGTGATTATGGTGCACCTGTATATTACATATTCACATATGGCTATCAGTACAGTAGTAAGTTTGCATAAATAAATAAGCATATTATGAGCAGAAGATGGAAAGATATATTGTTGTATGCAGCTGTGATAGATATTAAAGTGAGATCCAGACTAAGATATTTTCAATTACGGTGTAGGGATATGGAGTGATGTTGCAACCCGTTCTCGCAAATTTAATAAGTCAATATTGACTTATTATATATGTGCATAGGTGACATACTTAACATAATAGATACCCTTAAAAAGATTCATAGAAAACACCGACCTTACCTAACCTTGTTAGTATCTTAAGATAAGCATCTTATTGCTCCGTAATTACAATTATTACCTAACCTATAATAGGTATAGGTTAAGTAATAATTGTAATTACGAAGCAATAAGATGCTTATCTTAAGATACTAACAAGGTTAGGTAAGGTCGGTGTTTTCTATGAATCTTTTTAAGGGTATCTATTATGTTTAGTATATCACCTATGCACGTAGTTAATAAGTCAATATTGACTTTACGAATTTGCGAGAACGGGTTGGATAAATACAGGTCTCACCTGCAGCTAAAATTTGGAATAAGAAAAAGTGGCCCCAGTGAGAACAGCCCCAGATATGTTAACACTAGATACAAATTGTATCTAGTGGACATTACAATCTAGTACAAACACTAGATATGTTAACATGTTATCTACCTTATTCATCAATAAGGTAGATGATTCTGAGATATGACATGAGTGATAATTAAAATGAGAAAATCAACAGCCAAGTGAATATTGAAGTGGTTTAGTCTGTCAGCAAAGATCAGAATCATGCAGGTGAGAGTAATTATTCCTGTCATCTTTTCTGAAAAACTAAGGACAGTAGTACTGTAGTGTGAAATTTTCTTATTCCCAGCAGCAAGTTTGCTACACTTAGTCAAGTGAGGTGGTGGTGAAGGCCAAAACTGTCAGTAGTTTCAAAGTGTTATGTGACAAAGAGTACTGGGAAGACGGGACACCATGAGTGTAGCTCTCCTGTAACTACACTTAGGTAATTACACTTGCGTAATTACTTACAATTTTGCAAGTGGTTGACCAGAACGAGGATCCCAGAGTTTGATGGGCTGTTGGTTGTCTTTACTGCCAGACGCAAGCAAGCTTTTAGATGGGTGCCAGTCCACACACTTAACATCTGCGCCATGACCTGTGCGAATCAAACTTCTTTAATCATCAACTAATCACAAAAAGATACTTAATTTATGTTCTTATACATTGATATAAAATAAAGTAGCTACTTCAATTTATTAGTCTACTTTTAAATGTATACACAAGTACCAGTACTACACTGAAGTATGTCACTTGGTAAGCAATTTCATATGTTTACTGCTCAATAAAATGTAGATCTTTTTTCCTAATTAGTGAAATCCTTTGTCTGTAATTTTCCAGACAATGCTGTACAGTGTTAGACTATAATGACTGTTTGACAGTGTTGCAATATTAAAAGTATTCTCCTGGATTAAGAATGTCATATCCATTAATAATTTTAAATAAAATGTGAAGTACTTGTATAAACTCTCCTATTTTTCTCTTTTCAGTTTTGAAAAAAATTCTGTTTCTAAAACAGATTTAGAAGGGATTTAGTATCATTATTGCACAGCACTGAACAACTTTAAATTTTTCAATGCCATCTCTCAAATTTGGTGACCAAAACTGTATACAATATTCCAGAATAAGGAATACTGTACTTTCTTGCAATATACCTTGAAAATCTGCAAGTGAAGTTTAATGTATTAATAGCCTTTTTAAAAGCTTCAGTACTGTACACTTTAATCTGCTTTAGATCGCTAGCCACTATCGCTCCCATGTCTATGGTGTTCATCCAATATTACTGTACACTTTAACATTTTTGTATATAATATAGTATGTAAATTGATATTAATCACCATTAAAATTCATCTGTGATTTATCATGCCTATTAACTAAGGTAATTAATAGGCATCATAAATGAGAGACTGGATTGAAGGAGCACTAATCCTTGGAACCATCTCAGAGCAAGGTGTGAGAGTCAGTGGTGAATGTATGAGGCAGTTGTCAATTTATGAGTGAGAGTGTAAGTTGGCAGTAGTGCAATACTGTATGTACATGCAAGATTGAGGCTCAGCTCTTGCTGCCTTTCCAGCAGCTGTTTGTTTTACTCTCCATCATATATGCTTTTGAAATTGTGGATAGCATTGGCTTTCACTACTTGCTTGTTTGATTCATTGAATTTTCCTACTGTACTACTATTATGCCACCACTAGCAAGTATGTGTAATATACAGTACTCATTAATAAGTGTGTGCGGGAATGGTTTGTATGCACGCCACCACCTCGCACTTCCCGATCTCAGCGTCCAAATTAAGGTGAACGTTGGTAGAGTTACGCTGCCTAAATTTAGACACTTCCTCAGACTAATGAGCACTGTCCTTGACATTGTTGGTGGTTTGGTCTCAGTTTGTACACTTATGGTTAGAAGAAAGCACTTGTCTAATCATAAGAACAGGTTGGTATGAATACACAGTGTAGTGGCTTTGTGTGAATGTGCCTAATATACCACACTACAGAACTTTATGCATATTAAATTGTAGCTGATTTTATTAGTATGAATTTGTTTTACATATCCACCAAGTTTTTTTTTTTACAAAACCTTATGTACCTTCTTCATATATAAAGATTATCAAATGCGTGTAGTGGGGTCACAAATGCAGAGACTACTGTAGTCTCACTTAACATCACGAGTAAGTTGAGTTTGGATCATGTGAGAGTCACAGGGTTGGTAGCCAGGCCAAACACCATCACTAACACTCCTTTAATTTCCTCTACAATTGGCCTCATGCCATATTTTCTCTTAGGTTTACTGCCCATCTGTGCATCTATCAATGACTTTATCATTACTCTCCTATATTTTAAATGAAGAAAAACACTCTAACAATCATTTTCATTGAGAGGTGAAGTAGCTAATCCAAACATATACACTGTTTATCAAGAGGTACCAGAAAAAGCCAATATAGTTTAAATATTCAAGACATGAAGCACTCCAGACGAGTGCTGCTAACATGCACCCCATACAAAATTATGGAAAAAATCATCTGGAAACGAATTGTAGGACATTTGGAAAGAGAAAATTTTGTAATGGAGGCACAATACAGGTTCAAAGGGAGGGAGGGGGGGGGGGGAAGGGGAGATCATGATTAACAAACTAGAAACAAGTCAATGACAGGGCCACCAAAATAAGGCAAAAGAATGAAGGCTAGATAGTTTTCATCTTTTTAGACTGACAAAGCATTTAATACAGTCCCTTACAAAAGACCAATACACAAGAAAGAAAGAGAATACTTGATGGACAGGAAACAATGGGGAACACTAGTTATCTTGAGATGATTCTTGAGGTTATCTTGAGATGATTTCGGGGCTTTTTAGTGTCCCCGCGGCCCGGTCCTCGACCAGGCCTCCACCCCCAGGAAGCAGCCCGTGACAGCTGACTAACACCCAGGTACCTATTTACTGCTAGGTAACAGGGGCATAGAGTGAAAGAAACTCTGCCCTTTGTTTCTCGCCGGCACCTAGGATCGAACCCAGGACCACAGGATCACAAGTCCAGCGTGCTGTCCGCTCGGCCGACCGGCTCCTAGTCTTCTCTCCCCCGGCTTCTCTAGTCAGAGAAGATGTCAGACCAGAGAGAAACAAAGTGGGGTTTTCCCAGGACTTTGTCCTAGGACCATTGCTATTATTCATATACTATATGTAAATGACTTAAAAGACTGAGCTCATACATGACAAGCTTGCAGATTATACACAGTTTATGAGTGTAATAACCGAGGACTATAATTGCCGTAGAAAGACCCTGACAAACTTCAAGAGTGGGCACATAAATGGCAGCTGGAATTTAATATCAATAAGTGAGGAGTAATGAAGATGGGAATGAGATGGGAAACCTGTAAGAAACTACACTGTAAGGGAAAGGTAACTGCAAGAAACAATGAGAGAGAGAGAGAGACCCGAGAGTTGATATACAGTAATCTAAACACTATTACTGGAAGCTTATGTAAACAGGGTGTCAGTGGCATATAGAAATTTAGCAATATAAGAACATCATTTAAAAATCTAAACAAAGTGGCTTTCAAGTCCATATGCACCAGCCTGAAACCTGCATCTTATGAAACACAAAAGAAAACTTGAGAAAGTACAGTACAGAGGTTTGCAACTAGATTAGCCTAGTACCAAAATTGAGAGGAGCTCTGCTATGAGGACAGATAAAGGGAGAGAAAAAACAGGGAATATGGTCACTACATACAAGATATTGAAGGGAATAGACAACAAGGGCAAGGACAGCCTATTTAAATTGAAAGGCGGTAGAACAAGAGCACATTGGTAGCAGTTGGATTCAGTACTCCATCGAGTTGAAAATATGTGAGAAAATTCTCATACCCTGTATGGATGGGTCAGCAGAGAAGTTGCTGTTGAAGTCATTTCTAAAATAATCCAAGAGGATCTGGAGTTTGTAGTATCAATAAATGTAAATGTAATGAAATGCTTTTTAACCAGTGGGCCCCCAGTAGCTCTCTGAAGTGATCTCCGGTACCATCAAGACAAAGATAAACACACCAGGCCCCTCAGTCCAATCTGTCACCTATCTCAAGCCATTACCCAAATCTGGCTCACTCTATGAGGCATGCATGGAGAACAGATCAGAGGTCAGGTAATTATCAATTACCTTAAGGAAAGTGCTAAGCCATTATAATTATATCAATCAAAAAAGCAGGGAAAACTCACCAGAAAGATTACTTGCAACAAAATCTACAGAATCACTTCAACTTTCACCTTTTCGCCACTCTCTTCATTTATTCTAACCCACATACACACCATTCTCCCCCCAATACTCTTTTTTCCTCTTCCTATGAAAGGTGGAAAGTGCTAAAAGATGACCCCAATCATCCAATTGAGATTGGGGTCAATTGAGATTGACCCCAATCTCTCTCTGTTTCACAGATTAACTTCTAAATTTAATGCACTCTTAACTATAGATTTGTAACAAGTAATAATCGAAAGAAGGCATCAAACTGGAGAGACTATACTCACCTGTTTGTGCCTGTTGGGGTCAAGCATTGGCTCTTTGGTCTCGCCTCTCAACTGTCAATTAACCGGTGTGCAGGTTTCTGAGCCTATTGGGCTCTATCATTACATTTAAAACTGTGTATGGAGTCTGCCTTCCCCACATCACTGCCTAATGCATTCCGTTTGTTAACTGTTGTATCCTGACACTGAACAAATTCTTTCTAATATCTCTGTGGCTCATTTGAGTACTAAGTTTCCACCTGTGTCCCCTTGTTTGTGTTCTGCCCATGCTAACTACCTACCATACACTGTAGCATCATCAGCATTACTGGATATTTAAAAGGCACTAAATATCACTTAGGAAGCCAATATGAGAACAAAAGCACATAAGGCAAGTGATATTGAATGTATTGGATTTATCAAGGATTTTGTCAATGGACAAATGACCTCGAGTGGCATTAGGAAAGAAAAACACACAACTGACCTGAAAGTCAGGACATTCTATTAGGAGGTGTACGACTGAAAAGAGACAATGCAATTTGGACAATAAGGACCATGGCAATGTTCCAATAAATTCCTGTGAGTTAAGCCAACACATAACCCATCCAGAGCCATTTCCCATCACCTAATATAGCAACAGAAGGCAGGCCAAGGGTACAGGCTACCTTTAAAAGTGTGCAGTTTGTTATCTGTAACACCAGAACAACAACCCTGCCAATGGTCTCAGAATGGGGAATAGGACAAGTATGGTTAGCCTTCTTGTGCCAGTGTCCACATGTTTATTTAAGGTACTGTCATATCAATATGGCTGGGAACCCAGCAAACATAACGATCTTAAATCTGCTAGTGATAAGAAACAGCCAATATTGAATTTCAACCACCACAGGATGATAGGGCTAGATGACTTCAGAGCCACGAGAGCACTAAGAGAGCTACCCACCATGGCAACGGAACATTTACATTGGAAAAGCAGTTGATGAAGCTGATTGTAACACGTTAAGAAATTGCATTTCTTAAAAGGAATATATCATAACGGCTGTGTATAGCACCGATTCACTTAGCACTTCAGGAACATATCCCAGTGTTAAAGTGGATATGTGCATATTACAGT